CGGTGACTAACCCCAATCCGTACACATTTGTGCAACCGTGGCATTCAAACAAGGCTGCAATGAAAACTAATGAGACTGTAGCGACTGTCTTGGCATCAGAATGAAAACTAATGGGACTGTAGCGACTGTCTTGGCATCAGAATGAAAACTATTGGGACTGTAGCGACTGTCTTGGCATCAGAATGAAAACTAATGGGACTGTAGCGACTGTCTTGGCATCAGAATGAAAACTAATGGGACTGTAGCGACTGTCTTGGCATCAGAATGAAAACTAATGGGACTGTAGTGACTGTCTTGGCATCAGAATGAAAACGAATGGGACTGTAGCGACTGTCTTGTCATCAGAATGGAAACTAATGCGACTGTAGCGACTGTCTTGGCATCAGAATGAAAACTAATGGGACTGTAGCGACTGTCTTGGCATCAGAATGAAAACTAATGGGACTGTAGCGACTGTCTTGGCATCAGAATGGAAACTAATGGGACTGTAGCGACTGTCTTGGCATCAGAATGAAAACTAATGGGACTGTAGCGACTGTCTTGGCATCAGAATGGAAACTAATGGGACTGTAGCGACTGTCTTGGCATCAGAATGAAAACTAATGGGACTGTAGCGACTGTCTTGGCATCAGAATGAAAACTAATGGGACTGTAACGACTGTCTTGGCATCAAAATCCGTGGTGTGAACTACGTTTCATTCAAGCGTTGATTGACATGGTAATAGCCCAATAGTATCGGGGAAAAGTTGAAAAAAACGGACCCCTCTGACGCTGTACGTTAAATTGTGTTGTGTCACGACGCATTATTCAACTCATTCTGGCCGTACAGCCTCTTTCATCCAGGTGTAGCGCTTCTCTCGCCGATAAAAAACAAGAAATGATCAATGGTGATTGTAAAGTTAATTACTCGTGAGTTCATCAATAGTTAATTCAATCAATTGTACATTTTTTGCGTAATCACTGCGAGCCATCATGACTCTCAAAAACCGTGACAGCCGCAGTTTAATTGTGAATATAAATTTAGCGCCACCTTAAAAACCCTATTCAAATTTGACACAAATCTTCAAATAGGTATGTTCTTTGGCTTGCAAGCCCCCCCCCTTTTCCCTCCAAACATAACAATGGTTATTATGGCCAAACAGCTCTATTTTTGTTTCATCAGACCAGAGGACATTTCTCCAAAAAGTGCGATCTTTGTCCCCATGTGCAGCTGCAAACCGTAGTCTGGCTATTTTTATGGCGGTTTTGGAGCAGTGGCTTCTTCCTTGCTGAGCGGCCTTTCAGGTGATATAGGACTCATTTCACTGTGGATATAGATACTTTTGTACCTGTTTCATCCAGCATCTTCACAAGGTCCTTTGCTCTTGTTCTGGGATTGATCCTTAGGAGACAGAACACGTTGTGGAAATTGCTCCCAAGGATGAACCAGACTTGTGGAGGTCTACACATGCCAAGCAAAGAGGCACTGAGTTTGAAGGTAGGCCTTGAAATTCATCCACAGGTACACCTCCAATTGACTCAAATGATGTCAATTAGCCTATCAGAAGCTTCTAAAGCCATGACGTCATTTTCTGGAATTTTCCAAGCTGTTTAAAGGCACAGTCAACTTACTGTATGTAAACTTCTGACCCACTGGAATTGTGATACAGTGAATTATAAGTGAAATAATCTGTCTGTAAACAATTGTTGGAAAAATTACTTGTGTCATGCACAAAGTAGATGTCCTAACCGTCTTGCCAAAACGATAGTTTGTTAACAAGAAATTTGTGGAGTGTTTGAAAAACGAGTTTTAATGACTCCAACGTAAGTGTATGTAAACTTCCGACTTCAACTGTACTCATTCAAGGGTTTTTCTTGATTTTTACTATTTTTTTTACATTGTAGATTAATACTGAAGACATCAAAACTATGAAATAACACATATGGAATCATGTAGTAACCAAAAAAGTTTTTTCTTTTTTAAATCAAATTATATTGTCACACTCGTCGGAGGAAGAAGTGGACCAATGCGCAGCGTGATAAGTGAACATACTTCTTTTATTCCAGAACAAAACAACAAACGATACGAAACGTGCAGTCCTACGGTTACACAAACCAAACGGAACAAGATCCCACAACACACTGTGGAAAACAGGCTGCCTAAGTATGGTTCCCAATCAGAGACAACAAGCAACAGCTGATTCACGTTGCCTCTGATTGAGAACCACACCGGCAAACATAGAAACAAATGAACTAGAATATCACCCTAGCACACAAAACACAAAGAAACAACACACCCTGGCTCAACATAACAGAGTCCCAGAGCCAGGGCGTGACATATATTTTATATTTGAGATTCTTCTAATAGCCACCCTTTGCCTTGATGACAGCTTTGCACACATTCTCTCAACCAGCTTCATGAGGTAGTCACCTGGAATGTATTTCAATTAACAGATGTGCCTTGTTAAGAGTTAATTTATGGAATTTCTTTCCTTCTTAATGCATTTGAGCCAATCAGTTGTGTTGTGACAAGGTAGGGGTGGTATACAGAAGATAGCCCTATTTGGTAAAAGACCAAGTCCATATTATGGCAAGAACAGCTCAAATAAGCAAAGAGAAACGACAGTCCATCATTACTTTAAGACATGAAGGTCAATCAGTACAGAAAATTTGAAGAACTTTCTTCAAGTGCAGTCGCAAAAAACATAAAGCACTATGATGAAACTGGCTCTCATGAGGACCGCCACAGGAATGGAAGACCCAGAGTTACCTCTGCTGCAGAAGATAAGTTCATTAGAGTTACCAGCCTCAGAAATTGCAGCCCAAATAAATGCTTCACAGAGTTCAAGTAACAGACACATCTCAACATCAACTGTTCAGAGGAGACTATGTGAATCAGGGCTTCATGGTTGAATTGCTGCAAAGAAACCACTACTAACGGACACCAATAAGAAGAAGAGACTTGCTTGGGCCAAGAGGTGTTATGGTGTGGGGGTGCTTTGCTGGTGACACTGTCTGTGATTTATTTAGAATTCAAGGCACGCTTAACCAGCATGGCTACAACAGCATTCTGCAGCGATACACCATCCCATCTGGTTTGGGCTTAGCTATCATTTGTTTTTCAACAGGCCAATGACCCACACACCTCCAGGCTGTGTAAGGGCTATTTTACCAAGAAGGAGAGTGATGGAGTGCTGCATCAACCAAATTGAGATGGTTTGGGATGAGTCGGACTTTGCTTTGAGACACACTGCTTTGAGTAAAGCCAGTGTGTCTATGTATACGGATGACTCAACACTATACACGTCAGCTACTACAGCGACTGAAATGACTGCAACACTTAACAAAGAGCTGCAGTTAGTTTCAGAATGGGTGGCAAGGAATAAGTTAGTCCTAAATACTTCAAAAGCAATGTATTTGGGACAAATTATTCACTAAACCATAAACCTCAACTAAATCTTGTAATAAATAATGTGGAAATTGAGCAAGTTGAGGTGACTAAACTGCTTGGAGTAACCCTGGATTGTAAACTGTCATGGTCAAAACATATTGATACAACAGTAGCTAAGATGGGGAGAAGTCTGTCCATAATAAAGCGCTGCTCTGCCTTCTTAACAGCACTATCAACAAGGCAGGTCCTACAGGCTCTAGTTTTGTCACACCTGGACTACTGTTCTGAAATCTGTTATGAATGTATTGTAATGTTTTTAGAAAGAGTATCTGCTACCTTGGCAGCAGCTAATGGGGATCCATAATAAATACAAATGCAAATACACCTTTTATAAACCTGTTCACATAGTCAATGCAAATCCGTTATAAACCTGTTCATATAGGCTTACGAAATACGAACATGTTGTAAACCTATTATAAACCTGTTAAAAATCTGTTCATATAGTCAATACAAACATGTTATAAACCAGTTCATATAGTCAATACATACCTGATATAAAACTATTCATATAGTCAACACATACCTGTTAAAAACCTATTATAAATCTGTTCATATAGTCAATATATACCTCTTATAAACCTGTTCATATAGTCAATACAAACCTGTTATCAACCTGTTAAGAACCTGTTCATACAGTCAATACAATCCTGCTATAAACCTGTTATAAACCTGTTCATATAGGCAATACGTCATTTTTACATCATTTGAATATGTCATTTGAATATGTCAGGTGAGTATGTCATGTGAATATGTCATGTGAATATGTCAGGTGAATATGTCAGGTGAGTATGTCATGTGAATATGTCAGGTGAGTATGTCATGTGAATATGTCATGTGAATATGTCAGGTGAGTATGTCATGTGAATATGTCAGGTGAGTATGTCATGTGAATATGTCAGGTGAATATGTCATGTGAATATGTCATGTGAATATGTCAGGTGAGTATGTCATGTGAATATGTCAGGTGAGTATGTCATGTGAATATGTCAGGTGAGTATGTCATTTGAATATGTCAGGTGAGTATGTCATGTGAATATGTCAGGTGAGTATGTCATGTGAATATGTCAGGTGAGTATGTCATTTGAATATGTCATGTGAATATGTCAGGTGAATATGTCAGGTGAATATGTCAGGTGAGTATGTCATGTGAATATGTCAGGTGAATATGTCAGGTGAATATGTCAGGTGAGTATGTCAGGTGAATATGTCATGTGAGTATGTCATGTGAATATGTCAGGTGAGTATGTCATGTGAATATGTCAGGTGAGTATGTCATGTGAATATGTCAGGTGAGTATGTCATGTGAATATGTCAGGTGAGTGTGTCATGTGAATATGTCATGTGAGTGTGTCATGTGAATATGTAATCTGAACATTCTTTCAAAGAGTCAATAAATGACAGTCAGTCAGTCGGTCCGTTTTTATACGTCTGAACTTTACTGGAGAATAAGAAGCATAACATTATGAGATACATTTTAGAAACATCATGTTCACACACACACACACACACACACACACACACACACACACACACACACACACAGGTGTCCATATTGTGTCCAGTGCGTCTATATCATCTGTGTCTGGGAGTTGCAGCGCGGCCACCGGGATCGGAGACTGAGGAAGAGGAGGAAGAGGAGGAAGAAGAAGAGGAGGAGAGAGATGAAGAATTGGAGGGTGATGTAGCCGGCGTGAGGAAGAGGAGGAGTGTCTGGAGCCTCGGCTGGAATCATATTGGTCAGATTCAGCATGTAGCCCAACGTCCAACCTGCATCACTACCTGAAATCTACACACACACACACACAAACACACAAAACATTACAGTCAGTGTTGAAGATATATTTCAGAAAGTCAAGAGAACAGGATATAGAATCTAAATGATCCTCAGTAGAGAACATTGTTCAGGTCAAATCAAAATCAAATCAAATCAAATGTATTGGTCACATACACATGGTTAGCAGATGTTATTGCTAGTGTAGTGAAATGCTTGTGCTTCTAGTTCCGACAGTGCAGTAATATCTAGCAAGTAATATCTAACAGTTCCACTACAAATATCTAATACACAGAAATCTAAGTAAAGGAATGGAATAAGAATATATACAGTGATGGAAAAGAAGTATTTGATCCCCTGCTGATTTTGTAAGTTTGCCCACTGACAAAGAAATGATCAGTCTATAATTTTAATGGTAGGTTTATTTAAACAGTGAGAGACAGAATAACAACAAATAAAGTGGCATTATTAAAGTGACCTGTGTTCCATTTATTAAAGTGGCCAGTGATTTTCAAGTCTGTATGTAGGCAGCTGCCTCTCTGTGCTAGTGATGGCTATTTAACAGTCTGATGGCCTTGAGATAGAAGCTGTTTTTCAGTCTCTCGGTCCCAGCTTTGATGCACCTGTACTGACCTCGCCTTCTGGATGATAGCGGGGTGAACAGGCAGTGGCTCGGGTGGTAGTTGTCCTTGATTATCTTTTTGGCCTTCCTGTGACATCGGGTGCTGTAGGTGTCCTGGAGTGCGGGCAGTGTGCCCCCGGTGATGCGTTGGGCAGACCGCACCACCCTCTGGAGAGTCCTGCGGTTGCGGGCGGTGCAGTTGCTGTACCAGGCGGTGATACAGCCCGACAGGATGCTCTTAATTGTGACTCTGTAAAAGTTTGTGAGGATCTTAGGGGCCAAGCCAAATTTCTTCAGCCTCCTGAGGTTGAAGAGGCTCTGTTGCGCCTTCTTCACCACACTGTCTGTGTGGGGTGGACCATTTCAGTTTGTCAGTGATATGTACGCCGAGGAACTTAAAACTTTCCACCTTCGCCACTGCTGTCCCGTCAATGTGGATAGGGGGGTACTCCCTCTGCTGTTTCCTGAAGTCCACGATCATCTCCTTTGTTTTGTTGATGTTGAGTGAGAGGTTATTCTCCTGACACCACACTCTGAGAGCCCTCACCTCCTCCCTGTAGGCTGACTCATCGTTGTTGGTAATCAAGCCTACTACTGTTGTGTCGTCTGCATACTTGTTGGAGGCGTGCATGGCTATGCAGTCATGGGTGAACAGGGAGTACAGGAGGGGGCTGAGCACACACCCTTGTGGGGCCCCAGCGTTGAGGATCAGTGAAGTGGAGATGAGCTTGGAAGGTACTACGGTGTTGAATGCTGAGCTATAGTCAATGAACAGCATTCTTACATAGGTATTCCTCTTGTCCAGATGGGATAGGGCAGTGTGCAGTGTGATGGCGATTGCATCATCTGTGGACCTATTGGGGCGGTGAGCAAATTGAAGTGAGTCTAGGGTGACAGGTAAGGTAAATAATAATAATAATATAATACACCATTTAGCAGACGCTTTTATCCAAAGCGACTTACAGTCATGCGTGCATACATTTTTTTGTGTATGGGTGGTCCCGGGGATCGAACCCACTACCTTGGCGTTACAAGCGCCGTGCTCTACCAGCTGAGCTACAGAGGACCATGAGGTGATATGATCCTTGACTAGTCTCTCAAAGCACTTCATGATGATAGAAGTGAATGCTACGGGGCGATAGTCATTATAGTCATTTAGCTCAGTTACCTTTGTATTCTTGGGTACAGGAACAATGGTGGCCATCTTGAAGCATGTGGGGACCGCAGACTGGGATTGGGAGAGACTGAATATGTCCGTAAACTCACCAGCCAGCTGGTCTGCACATGCTCTGAGGACGCGGCTAGGGATGCCGTCTGGGCCGGCAGCCTTGCGGGGGTTAACACGCTTAAATGTCTTACTCACGTCGGCCATGGAGAAGGAGAGCCCACAGTCCTTGGTAGCTGGCCGCGTCGGTGGCACTGTGTTATCCTCAAAGTGGGCAAAGAAGATGTTTAGCTTGTCTGGAAGCAAGACGTCGGTGTCCGCGATGTGGCTGGTTTTCCTATTGTAGTCCGTGATTGTCTGTAGACCCTGCCACATACGTCTCGTGTCTGAGCCGTTGAATTGTGACTCCACTTTGTCTCGATATTGACGTTTAGCCTGTTTGACTGCCTTGCGGAGGGAACGACCACTCTGTTTGTATTCTGCCATATTCCCAGTCACCTTGCCATGGTTAAATGCGGTGGTTCGTGCTTTCAGTTTTTCGCGAATGCTGCCATCTATCTACGGTTTCTGGTTAGGGTAGGTTTTAATAGTCAGAGTGGGTACGACATCTCCTATACACTTCCTTATAAACCCACTCACTGAATCAGTGTATGCGTCTATATTATTCTCAGAGGCTACCCGGAACATATCCCAGTCTACGTGATAAGGGGAGTGATATACAGTTGAAGTCGGAAGTTTACATACACTTAGGTTGGAGTCATTAAAACTACTTTTTCAACCACTCCACAAATGTCTTGTTAACAAACTATAGTTTTGGCATGTCGGTTAGGACATCTACTTTGTGCATGACACAAGTCATTTTTCCAACAATTGTTTACAGACAGATGATTTCACTTATAATTCACTGTATCACAATTCCAGTGGGTCAGAAGTTTACATACACTAAGTTGACTGTGCCTTTAAACAGCTTGGAAAATTCCAGAAAATGATGTCATGGCTTTAGAAGCTTCTGATAGGCTAATTGACATCATTTGAGTCAATTGGAGGTGTACATGTGGATGTATTTCAAGGCCTACCTTCAAAATCAGTGCCTCTTTGCTTGACATCATGGGAAAAATCAAAAGAAATCAGCTAAGACCTCAGAAAATAAATTGTAGACCTCAACAAGTCTGGTTCATCCTTGGGAGCAATTTCCAAATGCCTGAAGGTACCACGTTCATCTGTACAAACAATTGTATGCAAGTATAAACACCATGGGACCACGCAGCCGTCATACCGCTCAGGAAGGAGACGCGTTCTGTCTCCTAGAGATGAACGTACTTTGGTGCAAAAAGTGAAAATCAATCCCAGAACAACAGCAAAGGACCTTGTGAAGATGCTGGAGGAAACGGGTACAAAAGTATCTATATCCACAGTAAAACGAGTCCTATATCGACATCACCTGAAAGGCTGCTCAGCAAGGAAGAAGCCACTGCTCCAAAACCGCCATAAAAAAGCCAGACTACGGTTTGCAACTGCACATGGGGACAAAGATCGTACTTTTTTGAGAAATGTCCTCTGGTCTGATGAAACAAAAATAGAACTGTTTGGCCATAATGACCATCGTTATGTTTGGAGGAAAAAGGGGAAGGCTTGCAAGCCGAAGAACACCATCCCAACCGTGAAGCACGGGGGTGGCAGCATCATGCTGTGGGGGTGCTTTGCTGCAGGAGGGACTGGTGCACTTCACAAAATAGATGGCATCATGAGGAAGGAAAATTATGTGGATATATTGAAGCAACATCTCAAGACATCAGTCAGGATGTTAAAGCTTGGTCGCAAATGGGTCTTCCAAATGGACAATGACCCCAAGTATACTTCCAAAGTATTGGCAAAACGGCTTAAGGACAACAAAGTCAATGTATTGGAGTGGCCATCACAAAGCCCTGACCTCAATCCTATAGAAAATGGGTGGGCAGAACTGAAAAAGTGTGTGCGAGCAAGGAGGCCTACAAACCTGACTCAGTTACACCAGCTCTGTCAGGAGGAATGGGCCAAAATTCACCCAACTTATTTTGGGAAGCTTGTGGAAGGCTATCTGAAACATTTGACCCAAGTTAAACAATTTAAAGGCAATGCTACCAAATACTAATTGAGTGTATGTAAACTTCTGACCCACTGGGAATGTGATGAAAGAAATAAAAGCTGAAATAAATCATTCTCTCTACTATTATTCTGACATTTCACATTCTTAAAATAAAGTGGTGATCCTAACTGACCTAAGACAGGGAATTTGTACTAGGATTAAATGTCAGGAATTGTGAAAACTGAGTTTAAATGTATTTGGCTAAGGTGTATGTAAACTTCCGACTTAAACTGTAGATCTAAATGATCCTCAGTAGAGAACATTGTTCAGGTCAGGATATAGAATCTAAATGATCCTCAGTAGAGAACATTGTTCAGGTCAGGATATATAATCTAAATGATCCTCAGTAGAGAACATTGTTCAGGTCAGGATATATAATCTAAATGATCCTCAGTAGAGAACATTGTTCAGGTCAGGATATATAATCTAAATGATCCTCAGTAGAGAACATTGTTCAGGTCAGGATATAGAATCTAAATGATCCTCAGTAGAGAACATTGTTCAGGTCAGGATATAGAATCTAAATGATCCTCAGTAGAGAACATTGTTCAGGTCAGGATATATAATCTAAATGATCCTCAGTAGAGAACATTGTTCAGGTCAGGATATAGAATCTAAATGATCCTCAGTAGAGAACATTGTTCAGGTCAGGATATAGAATCTAAATGATCCTCAGTAGAGAACATTGTTCAGGTCAGGATATATAATCTAAATGATCCTCAGTAGAGAACATTGTTCAGGTCAGGATATATAATCTAAATGATCCTCAGTAGAGAACATTGTTCAGGTCAGGATATAGAATCTAAATGATCCTCAGTAGAGAACATTGTTCAGGTCAGGATATAGAATCTAAATGATCCTCAGTAGAGAACATTGTTCAGGTCAGGATATATAATCTAAATGATCCTCAGTAGAGAACATTGTTCAGGTCAGGATATAGAATCTAAATGATCCTCAGTAGAGAACATTGTTCAGGTCAGGATATAGAATCTAAATGATCCTCAGTAGAGAACATTGTTCAGGTCAGGATATAGAATCTAAATGATCCTCAGTAGAGAACATTGTTCAGGTCAGGATATAGAATCTAAATGATCCTCAGTAGAGAACATTGTTCAGGTCAGGATATAGAATCTAAATGATTGGTATTTTTTGTATTTTATTAGGATCCCCATTAGCTGTTGTGAAAGCAGCAGCTACTCTTCCTGGGGTCCACACAAAACATGAAACATGACATAATACAGAACATGAATAGACAACAACAGCTCAAGGCACACGTAGCCTACATATCAATACATACACACAAACTATCTAGGTCAAATAGGGGAGAGGCGTTGTGCCGTGAGGTGTTGCTTTATCTGTTTTTTGAAACCAGGTTTTGCTGTTCATTTGAGCAATATGAGATGGGACGGAGTTTCATGCAATAATGGCTCTATATCATACTGTACACTTTCTTGAATTTGTTCTGGACCTGGGGACTGTGAAAAGACCCCTGGTTGCATGTCTGGTGGGGTAAGTGTGTGTGTCAGGACTGTGAAAAGACCCCTGGTGGCATGTTCTGGTGGGGTAAGTGTGTGTGTCAGCTGTGTGTAAATTGACTATGCAAAAGATTTGGGATTTTCAACACATTAATGTTTCTTATAAAAACAAGAAGTGATGCAGTCAGTCTCTCGTCAACTCTTAGCCAAGAGAGACTGGCATGCATAGTATTTATATCAGCCCTCTGATTACAATGAAGAGCAAGACGTGCTGTTCTGTTCTGACAAAGCTAGAGCCTGCAGGAATTGCTTTTTGGAGGGTGGTGTCAAAACAGCAGAGCATCTCTTTATTATGGACAGACCTCTCCCCATCTGTACAACCATTGAATCTCTATGTTTTGACCATGACAGTTTACAATCTAAGGTAACGCCAAGTAATTGAGTCTCCTCAACTTGTTCAACACTCTGTTGATCATATATCCTGATGCCTAGTCACCTTCCCCCCGTGTAACTCAGTTGGTAGAGCAAGGCGCTTGCAACGCCAGGGTGGTGGGTTCGATTCCCACGGGGGCCAGTATGAAAAAATTAAAATGTACGCACTCACTAACTGTTAGTCGCTCTGGATAAGAGCAGCTGCTAAATAACTAAAAAAATATATATATATATCAAACATACAAAATAAAAACATATCTATCACTCCATTTACGTCATTTAGCAGACGCTCTTATCCAGAGTGACTTACAACTTGGTGCATTCACCTTATAGCCAGTGGGATAACCACTTTACAATATGTTTTTTTTTTTTGGGGGGGGGGGGGGGGGGGGTAGAAGGATTACTTTATCCTATCCCAGGTATTCCTTAAAGAGGTGGGGTTTTCAAGTGTCTCCGGAAGGTGGTGAGTGACTCCGCTGTCCTGGGCGTCGTGAGGGAGCTTGTTCCACCATTGGGTGCCAGAGCAGCGAACAGTTTTGACTGGGCTGAGCGGGAACTATGCTTCCGCAGAGGAAGGGGAGCCAGCAGGCCAGAGGTGGATGAACGCAATGCCCTCGTTTGGGTGTAGGGACTGATCAGAGCCCGAAGGTACGGAGGTGCCGTTCCCCTCACAGCTCCGTAGGCAAGCACCATGGTCTTGTAGCAGATGCAAGCTTCAACTGGAAGCCAGTGGAGTGTGCGGAGGAGCGGGGTGACGTGAGAGAACTTGGGAAGGTTGAACACCAGACGGGCTGTGGCATTCTGGATGAGTTGTAGGGGTTTAATGGCACATATCCCTATACATATCTACCTCCATCACTACAGTATCCCTGCACATCGTTAATATGGTATTGGAACTGACCATGTATACAGCTTACATACTTTATAATGTTCTCCTTATTTCTTATTTTTATATTTCTACTGTGTTTTTGTTAGACTTTACTCTATTTTATAGTACTATACTGATATTGATTACTGCATTGTTGGGAAAAGAGCTTGCAAAAAAGGCATTTCACTGTACTTGTGAATAAAAACTTGAACATGAAGACTGATAGTATGACATGAATGCATATTTTACTACTAACAACATGCCAACTCTTAACAGTCATCAGCTATCAATACAGAGAACATGTTTCTACCAACTCTTAACAGTCATCAGCTATCAATACAGAGAACATGTTTCTACCAACTCTTAAAAGTCATCAGCTATCAATACAGAGAACATGTTTCTACAGGCCTGTTTATATCGACAGGTGTGTGTGTCTGACCTTCTTGATGAATGTGATGTGTGTCCAGGTGTCTGAGGTGAAGTTGTATCCGTCAGTCAGTAGAGAGAGGATGTAGCTCCCAGAGAAACAGTACTCTGCCAGATACTTCTCCTTCACATCAGGATGCTGCTGCTTGATCTGCACACACACACACATTACACACTGAGTGGGAGTGGGAGAAAGTGCATGTGTGTGCTTACGTGTTTGTGTGTGTTGCGTCAAAAGACAGGTATTCATATTCAAGGCATTCACATTTTCAACTTATTTCAAAGATAAAATACCAGCAGGGGGCGAAAAAGTGTATGCATTGTGGAACCCATCATTAGCTTGTGTTTCCCTGGGGAACATATATACAGGTGCACCTTTGTGACAGCAGGTGGTGAAATGTTTGGTGAAAAATCATTTCACTGGAGTTCCTTCATGGAAGAGGAGACTCTCATTCATACACATTCAGCTCATTTAGGATTCTGGAGACTCAACCGGTCGGCACATGGACATTGGTGTGTAAAATTGTTGCCAGTTAGGTGTTTATTTGTGTTGAGAATTGAGACCAATTGTCTAATTTAGTATATATAGTATAATTTAGATAATATGACTACATTGAGATTATATATTTAATTTGAAATGACCTTACTTGAAGTAATGTATATTTATTTATGTGTTTTGCCTTTAAAGGTTATCAACCTAACTATCTAACTAACTAACTGACTAACTGACTAACTAACTAACTAACTAACTAACGAACTGGAATTAAATAAAATAAGTCAGAAGAAAATTGAGTTGTCCCTTGCGTCCTTCAGTCCTTAAAGAGGCCTTTTTCAAGTTTGGTCAAAGAGCTGCAGTGTGAACCATACACAACTTGACAGTTGATAACCGGCGTGGCAGTGAAGACAAAAGGATTAACGGCCTGAAGTCAGGAAAGCTGTCGTCGCAGAGAGGAGTATTGACTGACATCTCAACATGGCGGAGGAAGCTCTTGGAATAACAGTGAAGGAGCTGAAGCAAAAAATAACTTTAGCTAAAAGCACTTTTACCAAGCAGGCAAACTTCCTCAGCAGAGGCGCAAAGCACATGACTAAAAGAGAACTACAAGAGGAGTTCAAGAAGCTCAAGTCGGAGGCGAGGACGGTCAGTGAGACAAATGACGAATACAGGGCTGGCCTTCTGGCAGACATTGAAGCTGGAACCGATGAGGGTGAAGAAGCTGAACTGAGCAAGGAGCAGCAGACTGAACTTGAGAAGACGTTCCAAGAATGCGAAGCACGATTGGATGAAGGTCAGGGAGATGGTCCAATCTATGGCCTAGATACGGTGAGAATGAGGTGAAGTCTGCAATCCATGAAGCCGAGACAGCCAGTGATGGAGTTGCTCAGATACCTGTTACCGCTGTAAACAAAGATGGCTTTGAGCTACGGTGGGATAGTGTGAAAACACTATTCCAAAATGCAATCCAAAATGCAATCGCAAGCCTAGCAGAGTGGGAGATGTGGATTCCAGTGGCGGAAAAGGAAAGGCTGGGAGGCAGAGTGAAGGATCTGAAGGCATTCGGCAACAACCTTGAAGCAAGGAGGGCAGGATTTCTCACAGCACTGAGGATAAAGCCAATCTGTCTACCCAGGTTCAGTGGGTATAAAAGAAATGTCCATCGATGGAGAAGAGACTGGGAGAGTCTGCAAAAGCAGGGGGAACCAACAGGCTCAGTCGAAGTAAAGAAGATCCAACTCATTGACAGGAGAGATGAGAGGATATGCAGAGACCTCCGTTTGTCTTCTCACAACACTGCTGAGGACATGTTCAGGGTGCTGGAGAACAGGTATGGAAACAAGCCTTGGAGATAATGGAGGATCTGGAGAACAGGTATGGAAACAAGCCTTGGAGATAATGGAGGATCTGGAGAACAGGTATGGAAACAAGCCTACAATTGCCTTGGAGATAATGGAGGATCTGGAGAAAAGTCCTGCTTTAAGGGCAAAACAGCCTAGGAAAGTTATCGACATGATCCAAACTATAGAGAAGGCCCTGGATGACCTCACGGAGCTTGGAAACACAGGCGCCATCAACAACCCTCTAGTGATCAGATCCATAGAAAGCAAGTTACCTGACAACATCAAGAGAGATTGGCTTGTCTTCATGGTTAATCCGTGGAATAATGTCACACCAGACAATCACTTTGAGAACCTTCTTAAATTCCTGAAAACACGAGGAAATTCTTGAAAAACTGGAGCAGCTGGGAGTGAGTGAAAGGCCTGAATAGAAAAATGCTTGCATGGAGAGGAAATATGCGTCCACGCGGTCCACAACGAAAGGCGGCTGTGTTGTGTGTGGAGATGAAAAGCACAGAGAAAATATATTATTTTGCAAGCGTTTCAAAGAACTGAAGCCGGTGGAAAAGTTGGCTGCTGTAGAAAAGCTGGGGGCCTGCAAGAGGTGCTTGGTCTGTCATGGAGAAGATGATGAATGCAAAGAGACATACCTTTGCAGGAACAGAAACTGTAAAAAAGACCACAATTTATTTCTATGCCTGAAGGGAGACTTCAAGAGGAGTGACTCAGAAAGAAGACAATTCAATGTGAGAAGGCATAAGTGGACTGAGGAGCAGGAGGAATTTGTATCTAAACTCTCCCCAGAGATGGCGGACAAATTCAAGAGAGCGTTCACCAACATCACCGCAAAGACAAACTGTGTTGAAAAGATCCAGCTTGGAGAGATTGTGCCAAGTGCAGTATAATAATTGCCAGTTATTCTAATGCTGCTCGAGGTAACTGCCAATGCAGGACAAAAATTGGAACCCTGATCGACTTGGCATCGGACACAAATTATATCACCCACAGAGCTGCCAGGAGATTAAATCTTCGAAGTGAAAACATCACTTTAGTCGTCCATGGAGTTGGGGGAATGGCCATGAAGGTTACAACCAGAAGATATCTCCTCAGAGTGAGGGTCAAAATGCCTAGAGGCACAGAAAGAGCCCATGAGCTTGTCTGCTATGGTTTGAATGAAATTGCCAACATCCACAGAGTCATCAAACCTGAGCAACTCAAGAAGTTCTTCCCAGAAGTCAATCTAGGAGATCTGAGGGGACCAGAGAGCATTGAGCTACTGATAAGCCACCGCGAAGGAAGACTTGCTCTGCAAAGAGTGAAGGTGATTGGAGACCTTGTTTTATGGGAGAGCCCACTAGGAAAGACTGTTGGTGGAGCACATCCAGATCTGTTTGAAGAAGTCGATATGGCCGCACACAGGTCTGGAACGCACTTTGCTCGATCCATGAGAGCAACCGCTGTCAAGTATCAAGAGATAACTAAAACACAAGAGTTCACAGCTGAAACCAAAAGCACAGTTGCTCGCAGAGAGTTCTTGGATTGGTGGAAATGGGATAGCATTGGAGAAGCTGGCGAACCGAAGTGTGGAGGATGCCGGTGCGGCAATTGTCAACCAGGAGGCAAGGAAATGACTCTGAGTGAGGAAAGAGAGCTGGAGATCATAAGGAAAGGCCTCACCTACATCAAAGCAGATGCTCACAGCGATGAACCACACTGGGACACAAAATACCCCTGGATTCAAGATCCATGGTCCCTTCCCTACAACAGGAGTGGGGTTGAAGCCACCTTCTTAAGAACAGAAAAACAACTCAAAAAAGAGCCAGAGTGGAAAATAGCATACACAGCTCAAGTGCATGAAATGGTGGAGAGAAGAGCAGCAAAGAAACTCACCAAAGAGATGATCACCAGCTGGAAAGGACCAGTATGGTATGTCATCCACTTGGTGGCGCCAAACCCACACTCTGTCACAACACCTGTGCAACTGTTTTTGAACAGCAGCCAGAAGTTTAAAGGGGTCAGCATGAATGACCTGCTGCTGAAAGGGCCTGATGTCCTCAATCCCATCCGAGCAGTACTACTCAGGTTCAGAAGAGGTGTCCATGCTGCTCTTGGCGACATCAGGAAGATGTACAATTCGGTGTGGTTAGAAAACCTGGAGATGCATCTCCACAGATTTCTCTGGAGAAACACTGAGGAAGAAGAGATTGAAGAGTATGCCATCACCAGAGTCAACATTGGCGATCGACCAGCAGGGTGCATTGCACAACTGGCCATGTTCGCACACCTGGAGGAGGAACGTAGGATCCTTGAAGAGGATGCCTATGTCGATGACATCCTGACTTCCCATAATGACTTACAAAAGCTGGACAAGGACACCAAAAGAGTTGAAGAGATCCTGAGGACAGGCGGATTCTTCCTCAAACCCTGGGTCCGGTCAGGCCAAAGTGGGAGGCGGGAGATCGTACCAGGAGAACAAGGAGCGGAATCAAGCACAGTACTTATTCTCCCAAACCAGATGAGGAAACGAGACACTAAAGCCCTTGGAGTTGGATACATTGTTGAAGAGGATAAACTGTACCTTATGACTTCAATCAATTTCTCAAAGAGGAAAAAGAAGATGAGTCGGACAAAATCTCCTTGAAGAAGAGGTGAGAGGGAAAACTCCAAACCCACTGATGAGAAGAGAACTGCTAAGCCAAGTAGCTAGCCTGTATGACCCAATAGGCCTCGTCACACTTGCCAAACAAAAGGGTGCTATTCTTGTCAGAAAGGCGTTTTAAGAAGCTGGAGGCAAAACTCTGACCCGAAACACGTGGGACAAACCTCTGTCTGAACAATTGAGAGAAGAAGCCATCAAACTGTTTGAGGAGTACACACGTCTTGGCCAAATCACCTTCCACAGAAGCCTCACACCAGTCAACTGGATTGGTGAACCTTGGGGAATAACATTCTCTGACGGAAGTGGAATGGAGCTGGAAGATCCACCCGGCAGACTCCCCTCACAGGAATGGAGCTGGAAGATCCACCCGGCAGACTCCCCTCACAGGAATGGAGCTGGAAGATCCACCCGGCAGACTCCCCTCACAGGAATGGAGCTGGAAGATCCACCCGGCAGACTCCCCTCACAGGAATGGAGCTGGAAGATCCGCCCGGCAGACTCCCCTGACAGGAATGGAGCTGGAAGATCCACCCGGCAGACTCCCCTCACAGGAATGGAGCTGGAAGATCCACCCGGCAGACTCCCCTCACAGGAATGGTGCTGCAGAAGCAGCTGTTCGCACTGTGAAACGGGCCTTGCACAATATGAGAGGAGAAGGACTCTTCACACGGAGTGAATATCAAACATTTATGTTCATGGCTGCTAACCTTGCCAATGAAAGGCCCATAGGTGCCAGGACTCAGAGCCGGGAGGACTGCATAGAATACATCAGCCCTAATTCTCTTCTGCTTGGAAGGACTGGACCTAGGGGAGACTTAGGAAGCTTTGAGTTTGAAGAATACTCCTACAAACGGTTAAGAGTCATTCAAGCGGAAGTTAACTGGTTCTGGAGGAAGTGGAGTCAGTTGGCTGGACCTAACCTGTTTGTGAGGAGTAAGTGGCACACAAAGCAGCGAAACGTGGCCGTTGGAGACGCCGTCTAGCTTGCAGACCAGAACGCTTTAAGGAGTCAGTATAAGCTTGGTAGGGTCATCAATGTCAACGCTGACAAGAAGGGCATTGTGAGAGATGCAAATATATGAACCTTCCCAAGTTATCCCATCTCAACTTTGAAGCATGTTCATGGAGACAAAACAAAGAAACGTTCAACCAAAATACCTGCTACAATTCTTCACAGGGACGTCAGGCGTTTGGTTGTGTTATTACCTGTAGAAGAGCAGAAGTAAAGGCATCGAAGATGAAGCCGATGTGACCTCCTTGGGTTCAACAACCAGGAGATCAAGTGGGAGGTGTTGCGTCAAAAGACAGGTATTCATATTCAAGGCATTCACATTTTCAACTTATTTCAAAGATAAAACACCAGCAGGGGGCGAAAAAGTGTATGCATTGTGGAACCCATCATTAGCTTGTGTTTCCCTGGGGAACATATATACTGGTGCACCTTTGTGACAGCAGGTGGTGAAATGTTTGGTGAAAAAGCATTTCACTGGAGTTCCTTCATGGAAGAGGAGACTCTCATTCATACACATTCAGCTCATTTAGGATTCTGGAGACTCAACCGGTCGGCACATGGACATTGTTGTGTAAAATTGTTGCCAGTTAGGTGTTTATTTGTGTTGAGAATTGAGACCAATTGTCTAATTTAGTATATATAGTATAATTTAGATAATATGACTACATTGAGATTATATATTTAATTTGAAATGACCTTTACTTGAAGTAATGTATATTTCTTTTTGTGTTTTTCCTTTAAAGGTTATCAACCTAACTAACTGACTAACTAACTAACTAACTAACTAACTAACTAACTAACTGACTGACTGGAATTAAATAAAAGAAGTCAGCAGAAAATGTAGTTGTCCCCTTGTCCTTAAAGAGGCCTTTTTCAAGTTTGGGCAAAGAGCTGCAGTGTGAACCATACACAACTTGACAGTGTGTGTGTATTTGTATTAATTATGGATCCCCATTAGTTCCTGCCAAGGCAGCGGCTACTCTTCCTGGGGTTTATTATGGATCCCCATTAGTTCCTGCCAAGGCAGCGGCTACTCTTCCTGGGGTTTATTATGGATCCCCATTAGTTCCTGCCAAGGCAGCGGCTACTCTTCCTGGGGTTTATTATGGATCCCCATTAGTTCCTGCCAAGGCAGCGGCTACTCTTCCTGGGGTTTATTATGGATCCCCATTAGTTTCTGCCAAGGCAGCAGCTACTCTTCCTGGGGTTTATTATGGATCCCCATTAGTTCCTGCCAAGGCAGCAGCTACTCTTCCTGGGGTTTATTATGGATCCCCATTAGTTCCTGCCAAGGCAGTGGCTACTCTTCCTGGGGTTTATTATGGATCCCCATTAGTTCCTGCCAAGGCAGCAGCTACTCTTCCTGGGGTTTATTATGGATCCCCATTAGTTCCTGCCAAGGCAGCAGCTACTCTTCCTGGGGTTTATTATGGATCCCCATTAGTTCCTGCCAAGGCAGCAGCTACTCTTCCTGGGGTTTATTAAGGATCACCATTAGTTCCTGCCAAGGCAGCAGCTACTCTTCCTGGGGTTTATTAAGGATCCCCATTAGTTCCTGCCAAGGCAGCGGCTACTCTTCCTGGGGTTTATTATGGATCCCCATTAGTTCCTGCCGAGGCAGCGGCTACTCTTCCTGGGGTTTATTATGGATCCCCATTAGTTCCTGCCGAGGCAGCGGCTACTCTTCCTGTGGTTTATTATGGATCCCCATTAGTTCCTGCCAAGGCAGCGGCTACTCTTCCTGGGGTTTATTATGGATCCCCATTAGTTCCTGCCAAGGCAGCAGCTACTCTTCCTGGGGTTTATTAAGGATCCCCATTAGTTCCTGCCAAGGCAGCAGCTACTCTTCCTGGGGTTTATTATGGATCCCCATTAGTTCCTGCCAAGGCAGCGGCTACTCTTCCTGGGGTTTATTATGGATCCCCATTAGTTCCTGCCAAGGCAGCAGATACTCTTCCTGGGGTTTATTAAGGATCCCCATTAGTTCCTGCCAAGGCAGCAGCTACTCTTCCTGGGGTTTATTATGGATCCCCATTATTTCTAAAAACTACATGAGATTACATTTCATAACACTTTTCACAACACATTAAGTGTGTTCCATCAGGCCACTACTCTTACCACATACTGCATATACAACACAAAGTTAATGTGTACGTGTGTAGAGTGCGTGTCTTGTGTGTGTGTGTGTGTGTGTGTGTGTGTGTATGTGTAAGCGTGTGTGTATACCTGGGTCCAGGGTGTAGAACAGTAGAGCGCCAGCTTCTCCCTGCTCCTTTCCAGAGAGTCTGATGTCAAGTTCAGAAAGTTCATCACAAAGTAGAATGCTGAGAATGCCTGAGAGAGAGAGAAGAGAGAGAGAGGGAGAAGAGAGAGACATGAAGAGAGGGAGAAGAGAAGAGAGAAATAAATAGAGGGAGAGAGAAGAGAGAGAAATAAAGAGAGGGAGAGAGAAGAGAGAAATAAAGAGAGAGAGAGAAGAGAGAGAGACAGAGACAGAAAGAGAGGGAGAGAGAGAGAGAGAGAGAGAGAGAGACAGAAAGAGGGAGAGAGAAGAGAGAGACAGAGACAAAGAGGGAGAGAGAAGAGAGAGAGACAGAGAGGAACAGAAAGGGAGGGAGAGAGAAGAGAGAGACAGACAGGGAGACATAAAGAGAGGGAGAGAGAAGAGAGAGACATAAAGAGAGGGAGAGAGAAGAGAGAGAAATAAAGAGTTGGAGAGAGAAGAGTGAGAAATAAAGAGAGGGAGAGAGAAGAGAGAGAAATAAAGAGAGGGAGAGAGAAGAGAGAGACAGAGACAGAAAGAGAGGGAGAGAGAAGAGAGAGACAGATAGACAGAGAGAGAGACAGAAAGAGAGAGACAGAAAGAGAGTGAGAGAGAAGAGAGAGACAGACAGAGAGACAGAAAGAGAGTGACAAAGAGAGAGAGAGAAAGAGACAGTTAAATTAAAAAGATAGAGATGATTCTGTGCATTTTCTCACAACTTGTCATTCTCATCGCTAAGAAGTGTTCTGCATTTTTAAATCCCAGAAGGGGTTACCAGGGGTTGACAAGACCCTGTCGAATGAGCCCTTTGAAGAATCCTTTTGGGTTCCATGAATAACCCTTTCCACAGACGGTTCTACATGGAACCCAAAAGGGTTCTACCTGGAACCAAAAACGGTTATCCTATAAGGACAGCCGAATAACCCTATTTTTTCTAAGAATGTAGGGTTAGGGTAAAAGTTAAGCTCACCCCAAACGGCCCCTGTAGTGGTGGCTGGTAGACCCCGTTGAAAGAACAGCGACTGAAGCTGCAGCCACTGAAGTTGAAGATTCTTCGGACTACTTCCTGGCACTGCGATGCGTTTCCTGTTCCTATGTGGGTGAAACTGTCCCTGGAGACGAGGGGTTTCCCAGTCATGACGCAGGGGCTGGAGTACACGCTAGAGTAGTCCCGATCAACACTGTAACCTGGGTGGAAACACGGGTCCAGCACTGAGCTGTCCCCAGACTGACACACAGACAGAGAGTTAACCCTAACCCTAACCTGGGTGGAAACACGGGTCCAGCACTGAGCTGTCCCCAGACTGACTCACAGACAGAGAGTTAACCCTAACCCTAACCTGGGTGGAAACACGGGTCCAGCACTGAGCTGTCCCCAGACTGACACACAGACAGAGAGTTAACCCTAACCCTAACCTGGGTGGAAACACGGGTCCAGCACTGAGCTGTCCCCAGACTGACACACAGACAGAGAGTTAACCCTAACCCTAACCTGGGTGGAAACACGGGTCCAGCACTGAGCTGTCCCCAGACTGACACACAGACAGAGAGTTAACCCTAACCCTAACCTGGGTGGAAACACGGGTCCAGCACTGAGCTGTCCCCAGACTGACACACAGACAGAGAGTTAACCCTAACCCTAACCTGGGTGGAAACACGGGTCCAGCACTGAGCTGTCCCCAGACTGACACACAGACAGAGAGTTAACCCTAACCCTAACCTGGGTGGAAACACGGGTCCAGCACTGAGCTGTCCCCAGACTGACACACAGACAGAGAGTTAACCCTAACCCTAACCTGGGTGGAAACACGGGTCCAGCACTGAGCTGTCCCCAGACTGACACACAGACAGAGAGTTAACCCTAACCCTAACCTGGGTGGAAACACGGGTCCAGCACTGAGCTGTCCCCAGACTGACACACAGACAGAGAGTTAACCCTAACCCTAACCTGGGTGGAAACACGGGTCCAGCACTGAGCTGTCCCCAGACTGACACACAGACAGAGAGTTAACCCTAACCCTAACCTGGGTGGAAACACGGGTCCAGCACTGAGCTGTCCCCAGACTGACACACAGACAGAGAGTTAACCCTAACCCTAACCTGGGTGGAAACACGGGTCCAGCACTGAGCTGTCCCCAGACTGACACACAGACAGAGAGTTAACCCTAACCCTAACCTGGGTGGAAACACGGGTCCAGCACTGAGCTGTCCCCAGACTGACACACAGACAGAGAGTTAACCCTAACCCTAACCTGGGTGGAAACACGGGTCCAGCACTGAGCTGTCCCCAGACTGACACACAGACAGAGAGTTAACCCTAACCCTAACCTGGGTGGAAACACGGGTCCAGCACTGAGCTGTCCCCAGACTGACACACAGACAGAGAGTTAACCCTAACCCTAACCTGGGTGGAAACACGGGTCCAGCACTGAGCTGTCCCCAGACTGACACACAGACAGAGAGTTAACCCTAACCCTAACCTGGGTGGAAACACGGGTCCAGCACTGAGCTGTCCCCAGACTGACACACAGACAGAGAGTTAACCCTAACCCTAACCTGGGTGGAAACACGGGTCCAGCACTGAGCTGTCCCCAGACTGACACACAGACAGAGAGTTAACCCTAACCCTAACCTGGGTGGAAACACGGGTCCAGCACTGAGCTGTCCCCAGACTGACACACAGACAGAGAGTTAACCCTAACCCTAACCTGGGTGGAAACACGGGTCCAGCACTGAGCTGTCCCCAGACTGACACACAGACAGAGAGTTAACCCTAACCCTAACCTGGGTGGAAACACGGGTCCAGCACTGAGCTGTCCCCAGACTGACACACAGACAGAGAGTTAACCCTAACCCTAACCTGGGTGGAAACACGGGTCCAGCACTGAGCTGTCCCCAGACTGACACACAGACAGAGAGTTAACCCTAACCCTAACCTGGGTGGAAACACGGGTCCAGCACTGAACTGTCCCCAGACTGACACACAGACAGAGAGTTAACCCTAACCCTAACCTGGGTGGAAACACGGGTCCAGCACTGAGCTGTCCCCAGACTGACTCACAGACAGAGAGTTAACCCTAACCCTAACCTGGGTGGAAACACGGGTCCAGCACTGAGCTGTCCCCAGACTGACACACAGACAGAGAGTTAACCCTAACCCTAACCTGGGTGGAAACACGGGTCCAGCACTGAGCTGTCCCCAGACTGACACACAGACAGAGAGTTAACCCTAACCCTAACCTGGGTGGAAACACGGGTCCAGCACTGAGCTGTCCCCAGACTGACACACAGACAGAGAGTTAACCCTAACCCTAACCTGGGTGGAAACACGGGTCCAGCACTGAGCTGTCCCCAGACTGACACACAGACAGAGAGTTAACCCTAACCCTAACCTGGGTGGAAACACGGGTCCAGCACTGAGCTGTCCCCAGACTGACACACAGACAGAGAGTTAACCCTAACCCTAACCTGGGTGGAAACACTGGTCCAGCACTGAGCTGTCCCCAGACTGACACACAGACAGAGAGTTAACCCTAACCCTAACCTGGGTGGAAACACGGGTCCAGCACTGAGCTGTCCCCAGACTGACACACAGACAGAGAGTTAACCCTAACCCTAACCTGGGTGGAAACACGGGTCCAGCACTGAGCTGTCCCCAGACTGACACACAGACAGAGAGTTAACCCTAACCCTAACCTGGGTGGAAACACGGGTCCAGCACTGAGCTGTCCCCAGACTGACACACAGACAGAGAGTTAACCCTAACCCTAACCTGGGTGGAAACACGGGTCCAGCACTGAGCTGTCCCCAGACTGACTCACAGACAGAGAGTTAACCCTAACCCTAACCTGGGTGGAAACACGGGTCCAGCACTGAGCTGTCCCCAGACTGACACACAGACAGAGAGTTAACCCTAACCCTAACCTGGGTGGAAACACGGGTCCAGCACTGAGCTGTCCCCAGACTGACACACAGACAGAGAGTTAACCCTAACCCTAACCTGGGTGGAAACACGGGTCCAGCACTGAGCTGTCCCCAGACTGACACACAGACAGAGAGTTAACCCTAACCCTAACCTGGGTAGAAACACGGGTCCAGCACTGAGCTGTCCCCAGACTGACACACAGACAGAGAGTTAACCCTAACCCTAACCTGGGTGGAAACACGGGTCCAGCACTGAGCTGTCCCCAGACTGACACACAGACAGAGAGTTAACCCTAACCCTAACCTGGGTGGAAACACGGGTCCAGCACTGAGCTGTCCCCAGACTGACACACAGACAGAGAGTTAACCCTAACCCTAACCTGGGTGGAAACACGGGTCCAGCACTGAGCTGTCCCCAGACTGACACACAGACAGAGAGTTAACCCTAACCCTAACCTGGGTGGAAACACGGGTCCAGCACTGAGCTGTCCCCAGACTGACACACAGACAGAGAGTTAACCCTAACCCTAACCTGGGTGGAAACACGGGTCCAGCACTGAGCTGTCCCCAGACTGACTCACAGACAGAGAGTTAACCCTAACCCTAACCTGGGTGGAAACACGGGTCCAGCACTGAGCTGTCCCCAGACTGACTCACAGACAGAGAGTTAACCCTAACCCTAACCTGGGTGGAAACACGGGTCCAGCACTGAGCTGTCCCCAGACTGACACACAGACAGAGAGTTAACCCTAACCCTAACCTGGGTGGAAACACGGGTCCAGCACTGAGCTGTCCCCAGACTGACACACAGACAGAGAGTTAACCCTAACCCTAACCTGGGTGGAAACACGGGTCCAGCACTGAGCTGTCCCCAGACTGACACACAGACAGAGAGTTAACCCTAACCCTAACCTGGGTGGAAACACGGGTCCAGCACTGAGCTGTCCCCAGACTGACACACAGACAGAGAGTTAACCCTAACCCTAACCTGGGTGGAAACACGGGTCCAGCACTGAGCTGTCCCCAGACTGACACACAGACAGAGAGTTAACCCTAACCCTAACCTGGGTGGAAACACGGGTCCAGCACTGAGCTGTCCCCAGACTGACACACAGACAGAGAGTTAACCCTAACCCTAACCTGGGTGGAAACACTGGTCCAGCACTGAGCTGTCCCCAGACTGACACACAGACAGAGAGTTAACCCTAACCCTAACCTGGGTGGAAACACGGGTCCAGCACTGAGCTGTCCCCAGACTGACACACAGACAGAGAGTTAACCCTAACCCTAACCTGGGTGGAAACACGGGTCCAGCACTGAGCTGTCCCCAGACTGACACACAGACAGAGAGTTAACCCTAACCCTAACCTGGGTGGAAACACGGGTCCAGCACTGAGCTGTCCCCAGACTGACACACAGACAGAGAGTTAACCCTAACCCTAACCTGGGTGGAAACACAGGTCCAGCACTGAGCTGTCCCCAGACAGAGAGTTAGGAGCCAGGGATCAAAGGTAAGACATCAGGGTTTAGAGGTTAGGGGTCAGGGGTCAGGGGTCAGGGTCAGGGGTTAGGGGTCAGTGGTCAGGATTACCTGAGTCTGCTGAGAAAGTGCCAGTTTGAGCACCTGGTCTTTCCCGTAGCACAGGAAGCTGTGTGTGTAAAGGAAGTAGTCATTTCCATAGAGACGGAAGGTCACAGCGTTCTCCGCCGATTCCTCCGCCCCATCCTGATTGGCCACAAAGCTGATCTGAGTGGAGGCTCCGCCCAGGTCAAGAGCTCCGGTGGTCCCTGAGCCCTGCAGCACACACACACACACACACACACACACACACACACACACACACACACACACACACACACACACACACACACACAGAGCCATATTACAACCTATGTGATGTGGTAATTGCATTGTTTGCTCTATAACCTGTTACTTCATATGCCTTGCGACCGTGATATACAGTTGAAGTCAGAAGTTTACATACACCTCAGTTTTTCACAATTCCTGATATTTAATCCTAGTAAAAATTCCATGTTTTAGGTCAGTTAGGATCACCACTTTTTTTAAGAATGTGAAATGTCAGAATAATAGTAGAGAGAATTATTTATTTAAGCTTTTCTTTCTTTCATCACATTCCCAGTGGGTCAGAAGTTTACATACACTCAATTAGTATTTGGTAGCGTTGCCTTTAAATTGTTTAACTTGGGTCAAACGTTTCGGGTAGCCTTCCACAAGCTTCCCACAATAAGTTGGGTGAATTTTGGCCCATTCCTCCTGACAGAGCTGGTGTAACTGAGTCAGGTTTGTAGGCCTCCTTGCTCGCACACGCTTTTTCAGTTTTGCCCACAAATGTTCTATAAGATTGAGGTCAGGGCTTTGTGATGGCCACTCCAATACCTTGACTTTGTTGTCCTTAAGCCGTTTTGTCCATTTGGAAGACCCATTTGCGACCAAGCTTTAACTTCCTGACTGATGTCTTGAGATGTTGCTTCAATATATCCATATAATTTTCCTTCCTCATGATGCCATCTATTTTGTGAAGTGCACCAGTCCCTCCTGCAGCAAAGCACCCCCACAGCATGATGCTGCCACCCCAGTGCTTCACGGTTGGGATGGTGTTCTTCGGCTTGCAAGCATCCCCCTTTTTCCTCAAAACATAACGATGGTCATTATGGCCAAACAGTTTTATTTTTGTTTCATCAGACCAGAGGACATTTCTCCAAAAGGTACAATCTTTGTCCCCATGTGCAGTTGCAAACCGTAGTCTGGCTTTTTTATGGCGGTTTTGGAGCAGTGGCTTCTTCCTTGCTGAGCAGCCTTTCAGGTTATGTCAATATAGGACTCGTTTTACTGTGGATATAGATACTTTTGTACCTGTTTCCTCCAGCATCTTCACAAGGTCCTCTGCTGTTGTTCTGGGATTGATTTTCACTTTTCGCACCAAAGTACGTTCATCTCTAGGAGACAGAACGCGTCTCCTTCCTGAGCGGTATGACGGCTGCGTGGTCCCATGGTGTTTATACTTGCATACTATTGTTTGTACAGATGAACGTGGTACCTTCAGGCGTTTGGAAATTGCTCCCAAGGATGAACCAGACTTGTGGAGGTCTCCAATTATCCTAGATTCCTTTTGATTTTCCCATGATGTCAAGCAAAGAGGCACTGAGTTTGAAGGTAGGCCTTGAAATACATCCACAGGTACACCTCCAATTGACTCAAATGATGTCAATTAGCCTATCAGAAGCTTCTAAAGCCATGATGTCATTTTCTGGAATTTTCTAAGCTGTTTAAAGGCACAGTCAACTTAGTGTATGTAAACTTCTGACCCACTGGAATTGTGATACAGTGAATTATAAGTGAAATAAACTGTCTGTAAACAATTGTTGGAACAGTTACTTGTGTCATGCACAAAGTAGATGTCCTAACCGACTTGCCAAAACTATAGTTTGTTAACAAGACATTTGTGGAGTGGTTGAAAAACAAGGGTTAGGGTTAGTAAACTTCAGGCCAGATGCTCGCTGGCTTCCCAATGCTACGGGGTTAGGGTTAGTAAACTTCAGGCCAGATGCTCGCTGGCTTCCCAATGCTACGGGGTTAGGGTTAGTAAACTTCAGGGCAGATGCTCGCTGGCTTCCCAATGCTACGGGGTTAGGGTTAGTAAACTTCAGGCCAGATGCTCGCTGGCTTCCCAATGCTACGGGGTTAGGGTTAGTAAATTTCAGGCCAGATGCTCGCTGGCTTCCCAATGCTACGGGGTTAGGGTTAGTAAACTTCAGGGCAGATGCTCGCTGGCTTCCCAATGCTACGGGGTTAGGGTTAGTAAACTTCAGGCCAGATGCTCGCTGGCTTCCCAATGCTACGGGGTTAGGGTTAGTAAACTTCAGGCCAGATGCTCGCTGCCTTCCCAATGCTACGGGGTTAGGGTTAGTAAACTTCAGGCCAGATGCTCGCTGGCTTCCCAATGCTACGGGGTTAGGGTTAGTAAACTTCAGGCCAGATGCTCGCTGGCTTCCCAATGCTACGGGGTTAGGGTTAGTAAACTTCAGGCCAGATGCTCGCTGGCTTCCCAATGCTACGGGGTTAGGGTTAGTAAACTTCAGGCCAGATGCTCGCTGGCTTCCCAATGCTACGGGGTTAGGGTTAGTAAACTTCAGGCCAGATGCTCGCTGGCTTCCCAATGCTATGGGGTTAGGGTTAGTAAACGTCAGGCCAGATGCTCGCTGGCTTCCCAATGCTACGGGGTTAGGGTTAGTAAACTTCAGGCCAGATGCTCGCTGGCTTCCCAATGCTATGGGGTTAGGGTTAGTAAACTTCAGGCCAGATGCTCGCTGGCTTCCCAATGCTACGGGGTTAGGGTTAGTAAACTTCAGGCCAGATGCTCGCTGGCTTCCCAATGCTACGGGGTTAGGGTTAGTAAACTTCAGGCCAGATGCTCGCTGGCTTCCCAATGCTACGGGGTTAGGGTTAGTAAACTTCAGGCCAGATGCTCGCTGGCTTCCCAATGCTACGGGGTTAGGGTTAGTAAACTTCAGGCCAGATGCTCGCTGGCTTCCCAATGCTATGGGGTTAGGGTTAGTAAACTTCAGGCCAGATGCTCGCTGGCTTCCCAATGCTACGGGGTTAGGGTTAGTAAACTTCAGGCCAGATGCTCGCTGGCTTCCCAATGCTACGGGGTTAGGGTTAGTAAACTTCAGGCCAGATGCTCGCTGGCTTCCCAATGCTATGGGGTTAGGGTTAGTAAACTTCAGGCCAGATGCTCGCTGGCTTCCCAATGCTATGGGGTTAGGGTTAGTAAACTTCAGGCCAGATGCTCGCTGCCTTCCCAATGCTATGGGGTTAGGGTTAGTAAACTTCAGGCCAGATGCTCGCTGGCTTCCCAATGCTACGGGGTTAGGGTTAGTAAACTTCAGGCCAGATGCTCGCTGGCTTCCCAATGCTACGGGGTTAGGGTTAGTAAACTTCAGGCCAGATGCTCGCTGGCTTCCCAATGCTATGGGGTTAGGGTTAGTAAACTTCAGGCCAGATGCTCGCTGGCTTCCCAATGCTACGGGGTTAGGGTTAGTAAACTTCAGGCCAGATGCTCGCTGGCTTCCCAATGCTATGGGGTTAGGGTTAGTAAACTTCAGGCCAGATGCTCGCTGGCTTCCCAATGCTACGGGCGGCAACAACGTCCTACTCTTTTGAACCAACAGCATCAGATAGATGACCTACACATGCAGAGACAGAGGGGCGCTGTTTCGCTCACTCTAATGCTTTCTCAGGTGAGATACAGTGCATTCAGAAAGTATTCAGACCCCTTCCCTTTTTCCACATTTTGTTACAATACAGCATTATTATAAAATTGATTAAATAAAGAATTTCCTCATCAATCTACACACAATACCCCATCATGACAAAGTGAAAACAGGTTTTAGAAATTGTTGCAAATGTATATAAAATAAAAAACAGAAATACCTTCATTACATGGGCTGCTTTAATATTAGTTTGTCCAGCATGAGGAAGACAAAAGCAGTTTAATTCATAACTATCAGTGGTGTAAAGTACTTCAGCACTTCATTAGGGGCTGTGTGTTCACCTAATCACAGTGGTGTAAAGTACTTCAGCACTTCATTAGGGGCTGTGTGTTCACCTAATCACAGTGGTGTAAAGTACTTCAGCACTTCATTAGGGGCTGTGTGTTCACCTAATCACAGTGGTGTAAAGTACTTCAGCACTTCATTAGGGGCTGTGTGTTCACCTGATCACAGTGGTGTAAAGTACTTCATCACTTCATTAGGGGCTGTGTGTTCACCTAATCACAGTGGTGTAAAGTACTTCAGCACTTCATTAGGGGCTGTGTGTTCACCTAATCACAGTGGTGTAAAGTACTTCAGCACTTCATTAGGGGCTGTGTGTTCACCTAATCACAGTGGTGTAAAGTACTTCAGCACTTCATTAGGGGCTGTGTGTTCACCTAATCACAGTGGTGTAAAGTACTTCAGCACTTCATTAGGGGCTGTGTTCACCTAATCACAGTGGTGTAAAGTACTTCAGTAAAAATACTTTAAAGTACTACTTAAGTTGTGTTTTGAGGTATCTGTACTGTACTTTACTATTTATATTTTTGACAACTTGTACTTTTACTTCACTACATTCCTAAAGAAAATCATGTACTTTTTACTCCATACATTTTCCCTGACAGCCAAAAGTACTTGTTACATTTTGAATGCTTAGCACGACAGGAAGATATTCTAATTCACACACTAATCAAGAGAACATCCCTGGTCATCCCTGCTGCCTCTGATCTGGTCATCCCTGCTGCCTCTGATCTGGTCATCCCTGCTGCCTCTGATCTGGTCATCCCTGCTGCCTCTGATCTGGTCATCCCTGCTGCCTCTGATCTGGTCATCCCTGCTGCCTCTGATCTGGTCATCCCTGCTGCCTCTGATCTGGTCATCCCTGCTGCCTCTGATCTGGTCATCCCTGCTGCCTCTGATCTGGTCATCCCTGCTGCCTCTGATCTGGCGGACTCACTAAACACACATGCTTCGTTTGTATTGATGTTGGAGTGTGCCCCTGGCTATCCGTAAATTTAAAAAACAAGAAAATGGTGCTGTGTGGTTTGCTTAATATAAGGAATTTAAAATGATTTATACTTTTACTTTTGATACTTCAGTATATTTTAGCAATTACATTTACTTTTGATATTTAAGCATATTTAAAACCAAATACTTCTAGACTTTTACTCAAGTAGGATTTTACTGGGTGACTTTCACTTTTACTTGAGTCATTTTCTATTAAGGTATCTTTACTTTTACTCAAGTATGACAATTGGGTACTTTTTCCACCACTGCTTCTCGATTTGTCTTTTCGGATAATGGGATAATTTGGAGTACAGCTACACCTTCCACCCCTAGATTGAGGGACGTTGACGAGGCATATCCCGCATCCGGCACCGGGGTGCAAACATTATGGATGAGCTGTGTTTCAATGCGAAAGAGAAGTCCAGTTTTGTCTAGTTTCAGTTGATCACTCACCTGTTTCAGTCGGTCACTCAGGTAGTTAACAGTGACCCAGCCGAAGGCTCCCTCCTCCTGGCCTGTGATGATGCGAGCGCCCTGATAGGAGAACGGAGAGGAACGCAACGCCTCCTCTACCGACCCAAGCACCAGATCAGACAAACTCTGGTTCTCCATCCTAAACACATACACACACACACACACACACACACACACACACACACACACACACACACACACACACACACACACACACACACACACTTTCTGGTTAGAGTCCAGTGTTTTCATATTAACTTCCTAGTTAGTGTCTACTGTTTTCATATTAACTTCCTGGTTAGTGTCCAGTAACTTCCTAGTTGGTGTCCAGTGCTTTCATAAAAACTTCCTGGTTAGTGTCTAGTGTTTTCATATTAACTTCCACGTTAGTGTCCAGTGTTTTCATATTAACTTCCTGGTTAGTGTCCAGTGTTTACAAATTAACTTCCTGGTTAGTGTCCAGTGTTTATATATTAACTTCCTGGTTAGTGTCTAGTGTTTACATATTAACTTCCTGGTTGTTGTCCAGTGTTTTCATATTAACTTGCTGGTTAGTGTCCAGTAACTTCCTAGTTAGTGTCCAGTGTTATCATATTATCTTCCTGGTTAGTGTCCAGTAACTTCCTAGTTGGTGTCCAGTGCTTTCATAATAACTTCCTGGTTAGTGTCTAGTGTTTTCATAATAACTTCCTGGTTAGTGTCTATTGTTTTCATAATAACTTCCTGGTTAGTGTCTAGTGTTTTCATAATTACTTCCTGGTTAGTGTCCAGTGTTTTCATAATTACTTCCTGGTTAGTGTCCAGTGTTTACATATTAACTTCCTGGTTAGTGTCTAGTGTTTTCATAATTACTTCCTGGTTAGTGTCCAGTGCTTTCATATTCACTTTCTGGTTAGTGTCCAGTTTTTTCATATTAACTTCCTGTATAGTGTCCAATGTTTTCATATTAACTTCCTGTTTAATGTCCAGTGTTTTCATATTAACTTCCTGTTTAATGTCCAGTGTTTTTATGTTAACTTGCTGGTTAGTGTCCAGTGTTTTTATGTTAACTTGCTGGTTAGTGTCCAGTGTTTTTATGTGAACTTCCTGGTTAGTGTCCTGGGGGCGACATTTCCTTTCATATTATAGCCGGAGGCAAAGTCAATAATATCCATGAGTCTGGTGATTGGTTGAGCCTTCTTGGGCATGTGGACCCCTGGCTAATAGCTAATATGGATCCCAATAACATCCCAATAACACTGATCCGCTGCAGAGCTGTCTATTTAGCTGGCTGGCCAGCATTAGCAGTAAGCGCTGAACGACTTGGGAAACCCAGCTTCAGCTTCATTCATTGGGAAATAAACGAAAGCCTCACAAGCTATTTTATACTGAACAAAAATATAAACGTAACATGCAACAATTTCAAAGATTTTACTGAGTTACAGTTCATATAAGGATATCAGGAAATGGAAATAAATAAATTACAACCTAATCTATGGATTTCACGACTGGGAATAAAGATATGCATCTGTTGGTCACAAAGAAAAGTAGGGGTGTGGATCAGAAAACCAGTCAGTATCTGGTGTGACCACGATTTGCCTCATGCAGCGCGACACATCTCCTTCGCATAGAGTTGATCAGGCTGTTGATTGTGGCCTGTGGAATGTTGTTCCACTCCTCTTCAATGGCTGTGTGAAGTTGCTGGATATTGCCGGGAACTGGAACACACTGTCGTACACGGCGGTCCAGAGCATCCCAAACATGCTCAATGGGTGATATGTCTGGTGAGTATGCAGGACATGGAAGAACTGGGACATTTTCAGCTTCCAGGAATTGTGTACAGATCCTTGCGATATGGGGCCTTGCATTATCATGCTGAAACATGAGGTGATGGCGGCAGATGAATGGCACGACAATGAGCCTCAGGATCTCGTCACGGTATTTCTGTGCATTAAAATTGCCATCGATAAAATGCAATTGTGTTCACTGTCCGTAGATTGTGCCTGCCCATTCCATAACCCCACCGTCACTATTGGGCACTTCGTTCACAATGTCGATATTAGCAAACCGCTCGCCCACACAACGCCATACATGTGGTCTGCGGTTGTGAGGCCGGTCTCTAAAACAACTTTGGATGGTAGAAAAAGGAATATTCAATTATCTGGCAACACTAATGGTGGACATTCCTGCAGTCAGCATGCCAATTGTAGGCTCCCTCAAAACTTGAGACATCTGTGGCATTGTGTTGTGTCACAAAACTGCACATTTTAGAGTGGCCTTTCATTGTCCCCAACACAAGGCACACCTGTGTAATGATCATGCTGTTGAATCAACTTCTTGATATGCCACACCTGTCAGGTGGATGGATTATCTTGGCAAAGGAGAAATGCTCACTAACAGGGATGTAAATACATTTGTGCACAAAATAAGCTTTTTGTGCGTCTGGAAAATGTCAGGGATCTTTTATTTCAGCTTCATGAAACATGGGACCAACACGTTTTGTTTATATTGTTGTTCAGTGAAGTTTCACTGTCTGATCATTCATAAAACGAGTCCACTAATTGTTATTTTTACCTTTCCACAAACTGTCTATTGCTTGATATAAGCAAGATTAGCCAAATGTGTCAAAGAATAAGTAATCCCCTATTAGATGGCTAGTAGTGGCTAATGCCTGGCCTGAGAGTCATTTCAGTCATTTTTGCTATCTTCCTAAATGCGGTGATCAGTGGATAACTTTAAGATAAGCATCATTGAAGTTGGGGGTTCGTTACTACTAATTTCTGATCTGTCGTCACTAGTTACCAGAGCCACAAAGTCAGAAACCCCGCCTATTTCTACAATTTATCATCTTAAAATTAGGTTTTAAACCTAAACCTAACCCTAACCCTAACCGTAACCGTAACCACATTGCTAACCTTATGCCTAACCCTAACCTTTAATTTTAGTTTATTTTTACTATATAGCCAATTTTGACTTTGTGGCTGTACTATCTGGTGGAAATCTTTCAGATCTGAGGCGAGAGAAATTGTCTGCCATATTTTGTGTTTTGGTAAGGGCTCGGAGTGGTCACGCACCCAAGAAAGCTCAACCAATCATCCAACTGATAATATTGGCTTTGCCTCCGGCTTTCCTACGAAAGGACATGTTGTGTCCAAGGGTCAGGGTACCTGAGCAGCCTCATTCCGGCGGTGGCCCCCAGGTAGAGAGGGGTCTCGTGGTGCCTGCGTAGGGGGATGAGGCTCTCTGCTTCCTTCATACAGCTCTTCAGAGACGCCCCTGCCTGCCCTGGAAACACAGAGTAGCTGGAGATACCAGCACCTGGACACGAAACACACACACACACACACACACACACATATTAGCTAGATAACGTTAGCATTGTTAGGTTTTTATGATTATAGTGTGTGTTTGTCTACCTTTGACTTTGCAGGCATGTGTCTGCTGCACTCTTCCTGTGTCATTCTCCTTCTCTGCCGGCCACTCGTAGATATACACTGCTGTATGTGAGGAGCCAGCATCCAGGACGATTCCATACTGAGAGAGGGAGAGAGAGACATTTTCAACCGCTCTCTGACCCAGTCTGTAATACTGAGAGAGGGAGAGAGAGACATTTCCAACCGCTCTCTGACCCAGTCTGTAATACTGAGAGAGGGAGAGAGAGACATTTCCAACCGCTCTCTGACCCAGTCTGTAATACTGAGAGAGGGAGAGAGAGACATTTCCAACCGCTCTCTGACCCAGTCTGTAATACTGAGAGAGGGAGAGAGAGACATTTCCAACCGCTCTCTGACCCAGTCTGTAATACTGAGAGAGGGAGAGAGAGACATTTCCAACCGCTCTCTGACCCAGTCTGTAATACTGAGAGAGGGAGAGAGAGACATTTCCAACCGCTCTCTGACCCAGTCTGTAATACTGAGAGAGGGAGAGAGAGACATTTCCAACCGCTCTCTGACCCAGTCTGTAATACTGAGAGAGGGAGAGAGAGACATTTCCAACCGCTCTCTGACCCAGTCTGTAATACTGAGAGAGGGAGAGAGAGACATTTCCAACCGCTCTCTGACCCAGTCTGTAATACTGAGAGAGGGAGAGAGAGACATTTCCAACCGCTCTCTGACCCAGTCTGTAATACTGAGAGAGGGAGAGAGAGACATTTCCAACCGCTCTCTGACCCAGTCTGTAATACTGAGAGAGGGAGAGAGAGACATTTCCAACCGCTCTCTGACCCAGTCTGTAATACTGAGAGAGGGAGAGAGAGACATTTCCAACCGCTCTCTGACCCAGTCTGTAATACTGAGAGAGGGAGAGAGAGACATTTCCAACCGCTCTCTGACCCAGTCTGTAATACTGAGAGAGGGAGAGAGAGACATTTCCAACCGCTCTCTGACCCAGTCTGTAATACTGAGAGAGGGAGAGAGAGACATTTCCAACCGCTCTCTGACCCAGTCTGTATACTGAGAGAGGGAGAGAGAGACATTTCCAACCGCTCTCTGACCCAGTCTGTATACTGAGAGAGGGAGAGAGAGACATTTCCAACCGCTCTCTGACCCAGTCTGTAATACTGAGAGAGGGAGAGAGAGACATTTCCAACCGCTCTCTGACCCAGTCTGTAATACTGAGAGAGGGAGAGAGAGACATTTCCAACCGCTCTCTGACCCAGTCTGTAATACTGAGAGAGGGAGAGAGAGACATTTCCAACCGCTCTCTGACCCAGTCTGTAATACTGAGAGAGGGAGAGAGAGACATTTCCAACCGCTCTCTGACCCAGTCTGTATACTGAGAGAGGGAGAGAGAGACATTTCCAACCGCTCTCTGACCCAGTCTGTAATACTGAGAGAGGGAGAGAGAGACATTTCCAACCGCTCTCTGACCCAGTCTGTAATACTGAGAGAGGGAGAGAGAGACATTTCCAACCGCTCTCTGACCCAGTCTGTAATACTGAGAGAGGGAGAGAGAGACATTTCCAACCGCTCTCTGACCCAGTCTGTAATACTGAGAGAGGGAGAGAGAGACATTTCCAACCGCTCTCTGACCCAGTCTGTAATACTGAGAGAGGGAGAGAGAGACATTTCCAACCGCTCTCTGACCCAGTCTGTAATACTGAGAGAGGGAGAGAGAGACATTTCCAACCGCTCTCTGACCCAGTCTGTAATACTGAGAGAGGGAGAGAGAGACATTTCCAACCGCTCTCTGACCCAGTCTGTAATACTGAGAGAGGGAGAGAGAGACATTTCCAACCGCTCTCTGACCCAGTCTGTAATACTGAGAGAGGGAGAGAGAGACATTTCCAACCGCTCTCTGACCCAGTCTGTAATACTGAGAGAGGGAGAGAGAGACATTTCCAACCGCTCTCTGACCCAGTCTGTAATACTGAGAGAGGGAGAGAGAGACATTTCCAACCGCTCTCTGACCCAGTCTGTAATACTGAGAGAGGGAGAGAGAGACATTTCCAACCGCTCTCTGACCCAGTCTGTATACTGAGAGAGGGAGAGAGAGACATTTCCAACCGCTCTCTGACCCAGTCTGTAATACTGAGAGAGGGAGAGAGAGACATTTCCAACCGCTCTCTGACCCAGTCTGTAATACCTACATGTTTCAAGCAAACCGACATAATCCCTGTGCCTAAGAATGTAACCTGTCTAAATGACTACCACCCCGTAGCCAAGGTAACCTGTCTAAATGACTACCACCCCGTAGCACTCACATCTGTAGGCATGAAATGCTTTGAAAGGCTGGTCATGGCTCACATCAACACCATCATCCCAGAAACCCTGGACACACTCCAATTCGCATACCGCCCCAACAGATCCACAGATGACGCAATCTCTAATGCACTCCACACTGCCCTTTCCCACCTGGACAAAAGGAACACCTACGTGAGAATGCTGTTCATTGAATACAGCTCAGCGATCAACACCATAGTGCCTTCCAAGCCCATCACTAAGCTAAGGACCCTCGGACTGAACACCACCCTCTGCAACTGGATCCTGGACTTCTTGACGGGCTGCCGCCAGGTGGTGAGGGTAGGCAACAACACATCCGCCAATCTGACCCTCAACACGGGGGCCCCTCAGGGGTGCATGCTTAGTCCCCTCCCTTACTGCCTGTTCACCCACAACTGCTTTGCCGTGCACAACTCTAACACCATCATTAAGTTTGCAGATGATCCAACGGTGGAAGGCCTGATCACCGACAATGAAGAGACAGCCTATAGGGAGGAGGTCAGAGACAACAACCGCTCTCTCAACTTGGGCAAGACAAAGGGGCTTAGTGTGGACTACAGCAAACAGAGGGCTGGACACGCCCCCATTCACATCGACGAGGCAGTTATGGAGCGGGTCGAGAGCGTCAAGTTCCTCAGTGTCCACATCACTAAGGACCTATCATGGTCCAAACACACCAACACAGCCATGAAGACGACACGACAACGCCTCTTCCCCCTCAGGAGGCTGAAAAGATTTGGCATTGTAAGAATATTCAAAGATAAATACACAATGCAGAGGACTAGAGGTCAAGAGAGAATTAACGATCAATGGAAATAGTTGTTATCAGTTCAACATCTGTTTAGAATCTGTGTAGGGGCTCCAGTCTGGGACTTATAGCTACATGTGGCAAGTTCCCATTGGTCCAAATTGTCTATACATTGAGCCTGAAACGGGATACTTGGTATTTGGCCATTGGCCCAATTTTATTGCAAGGAATTCTAATTGGTCAACCACAGGCTAGGCTTGGGTATAAACTACATTTGTTCAGTGGAGAAACATTGAGGACAGGGAAGAATGAACGTCTACCATCTACTTTCCAGCATAACAACTATGATTTGTTCTCTTTGAATAAATATATTTTTCTCCCCCTGATTTGCTTTGGGGTCTGTGTTATTGAAGAATAACATAAACTGCTAACACATTGTGCCGTGACCCGGATGAATTGGTCTGGACCAACAACAATAAAAAACGAATCAACTGTGTGTTGATCCAGGGGAAAGAGAGAGGGCTGTGGGAGTCAGCTCTTCATCTCCTGATAGACGGCATATTGCTGGATGAGTCTAGACCATCATCTAAAAGAACCAAATCAGGTTAATAGAAGAGTGATACCTATCTGTGATTTATAGGGGTTTGAGTCCTTTGTAAAAGCTCTATCAGTTAAAATGAGCTATGATTGATTAAGGGTGTGAAACCTTCTTGTTGCATAGAAGTGAGTTGCTAGTTAAGTAGCAATTTAGGGTAATGTAAGCCTTGTACAAGCTTTTGAAGTGAACACAAGTTTTAGGAGGTTCGAGTCCTCAACAAGCTTTTGAAGTAAACACAAGTTTTATGGTTAACAAGTTGTGTTCTATAGATAGAGGTTTGAGTCCTCAGGGGGTTATAAATATATAAACACATACAGAGCATCTGGTCAGCGTGGCGGTGGCACAGGAATCCTCATCTCTCCCAAGTGGACATTCTCTCTTTTTCCCCTGACCCATCTGTCTATCTCCTCATTTGAATTCCATGCTGTCACAGTCACTAGCCCATTCAAGCTTAACATCCTTGTCATTTATTGCCCTCCTGGTTCCCTTGGAGAGTTCATCAATGAGCTTGACGCATTGATAAGTTCCTTTCTTGAGGATGGCTCACCCCTCACAGTCCTGGGTGACTTTGACCTCCCTACGTCTACCTTTGACTCATTTCTCTCTGCCTCCTTCTTTCCACTCCTCTCCTCTTTTGACTTCACCCTCTCACCGTCCCCCCCTACTCACAAGGCAGGCAATACGCTTGACCTCATCTTTACTAGATGCTGTTCTTCTAACCCTAACCCTAACCCTTCTCCCACCAATCTCCTGATTCTGCCTCCTCAACCCTCCTCTCCTCCCTTTCTGCATCCTTTGACTCTATATGTCCCCTATCCTCCCGGCCGGCTCGGTCCTCCCCTCCTGCTCTGTGGCTTGACAACTCATTGCGAGCTCACAGAACAGGGCTCCGGGCAGCCGAGCGGAAATGGAGGAAAACTAGACTCCCTGCGGACCTGGCATCTTTTCACTCCCTCCTCTCTACATTTTTCCCTCTGTTTCTGCTGCTAAAGCCACTTTCTACCACTCTAAATTCCAAGCATCTGCCTCTAACCCTAGGAAGCTCTTTGCCACCTTCTCCTCCCTGCTGAATCCTCCTCCCCCTCCCCCCCGGTTCCCTCTCTGTGGATGACTTCGTCAACCATTTTGAATAGAAGGTAGACGACATCCGATCCTCGTTTGTTAAGTCGAATGACACTGCTGGTCCTGCTCACACTGCCCTACCCTATGCTTTTACTTCTTTCTCCTCTCTCTCTCCAGATGAAATCTTGCGACTTGTGATGGCTGGCCGCCCAACAACCTGCCCGCTTGACCCTATCCCCTCCTCTCTTCTCCAGACCATCTCCGGTGACCTTCTCCCTTACCTCACCTCGCTCATCAACTCATCCTTGACCGCTGGCTATGTCCCTTCCGTCTTCAAGAGTGCGAGAGTTGCACCCCTTCTCAAAAAACCTACACTCGATCCCTCCGATGTCAACAACTACAGACCAGTATACCTTCTTTCGTTTCTCTCCAGAACTCTTGAGTGTGCCGTATTTAGCCAACTCTCTTGCTATCTCTCTCAGAATTACCTTCTTGATCCAAACCAGTCAGGTTTCAAGACTTGTCATTCAACTGAGACTGCTCTTCTCTGTGTCACGGAGGCTCTCCGCACTGCTAAAGCTAACTCTCTCTCCTCTGCTCTTGTCCTTCTAGACCTGTCTGCTGCCTTTGATACTGTGAACCATCAGATCCTCCTCTCCACCCTCTCCGAGTTGGGCATCTCCGGCGCGGCTCACTCTTAGATTGCGTCCTACCTGACCGGTCGCTCCTACCAAGTGGCGTGGCGAGAATCTGTCTCCGCACCACGTGCTCTCACCACTGGTGTCCCCCAGGGCTCAGTTCTAGGCCCTCTCCTATTCTCGCTATACACTAAGTCACTTGGCTCTGTCATATCCTCACATGGCCTCTCCTATCATTGCTACGCAGACGACACACAACTAATCTTCTCCTTTCTCCCTTCTGATAACCAGGTGGCGAATCGCATCTCTGCATGTCTGGCAGACATATCAGTATGGATGACGGATCACCACCTCAAGCTGAACCTCGGCAAGACGGAGCTGCTCTTCCTCCAGGGGAAGGACTGCCCACTCCATGATCTCGCCATCACGGTTGACAACCCCGTTGTGTCCTCCTCCCAGAGTGCGAAGAGCCTTGGCGTGACCCTGGACAACACCCTGTCGTTCTCTGCTAACATCAAGGCGGTGACCCGATCCTGTAGGTTCATGCTCTACAACATTCGGAGAGTATGACCCTGCCTTACACAGAAAGCGACACAGGTTCTAATCCAGGCACTTGTCATCTCCCGTCTGGATTACTGCAACTCGCTATGGTGGCTGGGCTCCCTGCCTGTGCCATTAAACCCCTACAACTCATCCAGAATGCCGCAGCCCGTCTGGTGTTCAACCTTCCCAAGTTCTCTCACGTCACCCCGCTCCTCCGCACACTCCACTGGCTTCCAGTTGAAGCTCACATCTGCTATAAGACCATGGTGCTTGCCTACGGAGCTGTGAGGGGAACGGCACCTCCTTACCTTCAGGCTCTGATCAGTCCCTACACCCAAGCGAGGGCATTGCGTTCATCCACCTCTGGCCTGCTGGCCCCCCTTCCTCTGCGGAAGCACAGTTCCCGCTCAGCCCAGTCAAAACTGTTCGCTGCTCTGGCACCCCAATGGTGGAACAAGCTCCCTCACGACGCCAGGACAGCGGAGTCACTCACCACCTTCCAGAGACACTTGAAACCCCACCTCTTTAGGGAATACCTGGGATAGTATAAAAGTAATCCTTCTACCTCCCCCACCCCACCCCCACGAAATATATAAAATAATAATAATAATTAAAAATAATAATAATTATAATTTACAAATATATATTTACAATTTGTAAGTCGCTCTGGATAAGAGCATCTGCTAAATGACTTAAATGTAAATGTAAGGACCTTACAGATAATTGTATGTGTGTGGTACAGAGATGAGGTAGTCATTTAAAAATCATGTTAAACACTATTATCGCATACAAAGTGAGTCCATGCTAATTATTATGTGACTTGTTAAGCACATTTTTACATCTGAACTTATTTAGGCTTGTCATAACAAAGTGCTTGAATACTTATTGACTCAAGACATTTCAGCTTTCATTTTTCATGAATTGGTAAACGTTTCAAAAAACATAATTCCATTTATGACAAAAAATCTCAACTTAATCAATTTTAAATTCAGGCTGTAACACAACAACATGTGGAAAAAGTCCAGGGGTAGGAAGCTCTCTCATCCATTTATATACAGATGATACAGTCTAATATTCAGCTGGCCCCTCCCCGGATTTACTGCCTGTGAGGGTTTAGAGCTTGAGGTAGTCACCTCATACAAGTCCTTGGGAGTACGGCTAGACGGTACACTGTCCTTCTCTCAGCACATATCAAAGCTGCAGGCTAAGGTTAAATCTAGACTTGGTTTCCTCTATGGTAATCACTCCTCTTTCACCCCAGAAGCCAACTAACCCTGATTCAGATGACCATCCTACCCATGCTAGATTACGGAGACGTAAGTTATAGATCAGCAGGTAAGGGTGCTCTCGAGTGGCTAGATGTTCTTTACCAGCTCCTGAGTGGCGCAGTGGTCTAAGGCACTGCATCGCAGTGCTAACTGTGCCACTAGAGATCCTGGTTCGAATCCAGGCTCTGTCGCAGCCGGCCGCGACCGGGAGACTCATGGGCGGCGCACAATTGGCCCAGCGTCGTCCAGGGTAGGGGAGGGAATGGCCGGCAGGGATGTAGCTCAGTTGATAGAGCATGGCGTTTGCAACGCCAGGGTTGTGGGTTCGATTCCCACGGGGGGCCAGTATAAAAAAAAATGTATTCACTAACTGTAAGTCGCTCTGGATAAGAGCGTCTGCTAAAAATGACTAAAATGTTTTTAAAAAATACCATTCGGCCATCAGATTTGCCACCAATGCTCCTTATAGGACACATCACTGCACTCTATAATCTGTAAACTGTCCATCTCTGTATAACGCAAGACACACTGGTCAATGTTTATTTATAAAACCCTCCTATGACTGGGTGTATTGATACACCATCCAAAACGTAATGAATAACTTCACCATGCTAAAAGGGATATTCAGTGTCTGCTTTTTTTTACCCATCTACCAATAGGTGTCCTTCTTTGCGAGGCACTGGGAAACCTCCATGGTCTTTGTGGTTGAATCTGTGCACCTCCCTGGTCTTTGTGGTTGAATCTGTGCACCTCCCTGGTCTTTGTGGTTGAATCTGTGCTTGAAATTCACTACTCGACTGTGGGACCTTACAGGTAATTGTATGTGTGGGGTACAGAGATGGGGTAATCCCTCAAAAATCATGTTAACCACTATTATTGCACACAGTGAGTCCATGCAACATATTATATAAGAGAAAAAAACATTAATGTGACTTGTTTATTTTTACTCCTGAATGTATTTAGGCTTGCCATTACAAAGAGGTCAAATACTTATTGACTCAAGACATTTTAGCTTTACATTTTTAAATAATTGGTAAAAATGTCTATAACCAAAATTCCACTTTTTACATTGTGGGATATTGTGTGTAGATCAGTGCACAAAATCTCAATGTTAACCATTTTAAATTCAGGCTGTAAGACAACAAAATGTGGAAAAAGTCAAGGGGTGTGAATACTTTCTGAAGGCACTGTATGGCATAGTCTCGTTGGCTTGTGACTACTGGCTACTGGCTAATTGGCTAGCTAACTGGTTATAATAGCAGCCAAGGACGTTCGCTAGCTTGTTTGTTTGTGCTCTGATTTATTTTACCACAGATGACTTCAGCCATATGAAAAACCTTCCATAGAAAAATACACCTATCTAGCTAGCTTCCTTTGCTTGTAGCTTGCTTCTCATCTGACTGGTGTTAGCTAGTTAGCTACAGCTGCTAGCCTGCTACTAGCTAGCTGCTGCTGTTACGCAGCAATCGAGTTGCTGGTCCTGGTAGCACATCGTTAGGTTCTTAATGGACAGAAATGAGCATGTGATAAATTATACATTTAATAAAAACTGATGCACCTACAACCTTAGCCAATCAGACATTGTTTAAGTCCAATGGTCACTTTATGGATGCTACAGTCTCGTTTTAATCCGACATCTAGAATTTGAGCTAGGTAGACGCAGAAAATACTCTGAAAACTAAATAGTCAACGACCCTGTTAAGATATCCGGTATGTGGTTCTTGGTAATGGCCGGACAGCTCATGAGGAGAGGTGGGGAGTGTGCTGTGTACCTCCAATCAAGTTGATTTGTGAATTTTCATAAACATTGGTGTCATATTGGCTTAGATATGATGGTAGGGATATTTAAATGCAACATCGAGCTTCAACCAATGCATACTATAGTTTCTCCGACTGGCACGACTACAATATTATGACATTTTCCATCCAAGCCACAGAATCTGAAAAATCTGGTACCTTGTACTTCTGTAGGAGAGGCTGGTTCTGCAATACTGCTGTTGTCACCAGGGCAACTATCGCTGTGATAACAAGCACAGTGATGAAGAGGATCACAGCCTTATGCCAGGCGTTATTTTCTTTAATCTCTGAGGAAGAGGGAGAAGATGAGAGAGGAGGAGAGAGGGTGAGAGGGAGGAGAGAGGAGGTTGAAGAGAGGACGGAGAGAGAAATGGAGGAGGAGAGAAGGAGAGAGGGAGAGAGGTAAGAAGAGAGGGAAAGTTGGAGAGAGAGAGTTAGCATCTTCCATCTAGCTGTTGATGATGTCACATCTGTATTATTGATGACATTAGGGTTCTGAGTGTTGTTGTTATTGTTGCTTCTGTTGTTGTTGTTGTTGTTGTTGTGTAACTAGGGACTCGTTCTAAATGTGTTTTAAATGTCCACATGAACTCAAGTTACGCTCTAACCAGAGGTTCCCCCCTAGGAAACTATTTTCCACCTTCTCCTCCCTTCTTCATCCTGCACCCCTCTCCTTCCCTCCTCCCTCTCTGCGGACTACTTTGAAAAGGTTGACAACATCCTCTCCTCATTCACTCAGCCTATTGAGTCCACTGGTCACACTCACACAGAACTACCCTACGGCTTGAACTCTTTCTCAAATCAAATACAATGTTATTGGTAGCATACACATATTTAGCAGATGTTAGAGACAAATTCTCATTTTCTTTATTTGTGCTCTATTTATTGTTTTACTCCATTTAGAAAAATATGATTATTGAATATAAGTATATGTTTTGTATTAGGAATGATGGAGTATGGTTGATGAGCTCATGTTGTTTGGTTGTCTATGGTTATCATGGGTATTTGATAGAATGATGGAGCCTTTCCTGGGCCACTCCCTTTACCTATTTGTTCTCCTTCCCTTTACCTATTTAGGTTTTTGGCAGTATGGGTCTACTAGGCCTCAGGCATGGCGGTACCTTACAGTGTTTTGACCGCTACACTACGCCATGCCACGTCACGCCACGTCATGCCACTTCACGCCACACCACGTCACGCCACGCCACTAAGAAAGTTGCTACCTTTTGTTTACAATTTAAATCTGATCGCTTTGACTTTGTTCATCGATGGAATGTAGCCTATGCAATTATCTTTTGGATGAACTGTTCTGTGGTTACTTTGGAAGCACGTCTGACTACTGCATCACATACCTGTCGCCTCAAGGCTAGTTTGTTATTGGATTACGAATTGCCTTTATATTTGTCAAAAAACTACAGCTGGATGGAATGCCGACGAATGGTTTATCAGCTTGATCAAACATCGGATCGGAGGTAAAGATTTCATCTGAACAAGGTAAAACAAGCTGCTACTCTACTGTATATTCCAAGTGAAGAAGTGACTGACGCTATTGTAGCTCTCTGACTTGGCGCTACTCACTGTGGAGAGAGGGGAATGGTGTCTGGTTGCTCTGACTTGGCGCTACTCACTGTGGAGAGAGGGGAATGGTGTCTGGTTGCTCTGACTACTCACTGTGGAGAGAGGGGAATGGTGTCTGGTTGCTCTGACTACTCACTGTGGAGAGAGGGGAATGGTGTCTGGTTGCTCTGACTACTCACTGTGGAGAGAGGGGAATGGTGTCTGGTTGCTCTGACTTGGCGCTACTCACTGTGGAGAGAGGGGAATGGTGTCTGGTTGCTCTGACTTGGCGCTACTCACTGTGGAGAGAGGGGAATGGTGTCTGGTTGCTCTTTCTATTGCTCCAGGTGTTGGATGAATTGGGGGAACTTTTGAGAATTGTGGAGCTTGGACTTCACTCGTGGAGCTTGAATTGTGTGCGTCTTCTGTTGTTTGGATTCGTGCTCTGAGTTGAGAACTCGCTGTGGAGCGGAGAGAAAATCGTATCCTTTGCTGATTGGCTGTTGTGTCTGTTGTGATGATGTCATGTGTTGGGCTCAAACTCCACAAACAAAGAGAGACCCAGTACAGACAAACAACCTGCTGAGAAAGTATGTTTTGTTTTTACATACTGGTAACCAGAGTCGTTCAAGGGGATTTGGGACATGGGTGACTAGTTAACGTTAGCTTGGCTCTCTCTGTGTGTTCGTGCCGTGGGAGGAGGGGTTGGTTCGTTGGCAGAGAGCAATGGCTAGCTAGTATGCTAACTATTCTAGCTAACTAACTGGCTGAATAAGTTGACGACGTACTCACTCAAACTGTCAAAACTAACCCAAAACTTTACACAACGTTAGACACGAATGATCTGCTTGGCGTGTTAACACACTGGTGGGTATTGGTGCTAAACCGTATTATTGGAAGCTAGCATGCTAGTTGGCTATTTACAGTCATTTAGCAGACGCTCTTATCCAGAGCGACTTACAGTTAGTTAATGCCTATATATTTTTTTTTCATACCCCCTGTGGGAATTGAACCCACAACCCTGGCATTGCAAACACCATGCTCTATCAACTGAGCTATGTCCCTGCGGCCATTCCCTCCCCTACCCTGGACAACGCTGGGCCAATTGCGCGCCACCCCATGGGTCTCCCGGTCGCGGCCGGCTACGACAGAGCCTGGATTCGAACCAGGATCTCTAGTGGCACAGCTAGCACTGCGATGCAGTGCCTTAGACCAAGGATGGCTATGGTGTCTATGCTACCCTCCAGTCCCTCGACTTCTTGGCACTGACGGAAACTTGGATTACCACAGAAAACACTGCTACTCCTACGGCTCTTTCCTCATCTGACCATCTGGTCAGCGCGGCGGTGGCACAGGAATCCTCATCTCTCCCAAGTGGACATTCTCTCTTTTTCCCCTGACCCATCTGTCTATCTCGTCATTTGAATTCCATGCTGTCACAGTCACTAGCCCATTCAAGCTTAACATCCTTGTCATTTATCGCCCTCCAGGTTCCTTTGGAGAGTTCATCAATGAGCTTGACGCCTTGATAAGTTCCTTTCCTGAGGATGGCTCACCCCTCACAGTTCTGGGTGACTTTAACCTCCCTACGTCTGCCTTTGACTCATTTCTCTCTGCCTCCTTCTTTCCACTCCTTTCCTCTTTTGACCTCACCCTCTCACCGTCCCCCCCTACTCACAAGGCAGGCAATACGATTGACCTCATCTTTACTCGATGCTGCTCTTCTACTAATCTCACTGCAACTCCCCTCCAAGTCTCCGACCACTACTTTGTATCCTTTTCTCTCTCGCTCTCTTCCAACACTACTCACTCTGCCCCTACTTAGATGGTAATGTGCCGTCGCAACCTTCGCTCTCTCTCCAGCTACTCTCTCCTCTTCCATCCTATGATCTCTTCCCTCTGCTAAATCCTTCTTCCTCCGATCTCCTGATTCTGCCTCCTCAACCCTCCTCTCCTCCCTTTCTGCATCTTTTGACTCTCTATGTCCCCTATCCTCCCGGCCGGCTTGGTCCTCCCCTCCTGCTCCGTGGCTTGACGACTCATTGCGAGCTCACAGAAGAGGGCTCCGGGCAGCCGAGTGGAAATGGTGGAAAACTAGACTCCCTGCGGACCTGTCATCTTTTCACTCCCTCCTCTCTACATTCTCTTCCTCTGTTTCCGCTGCTAAAGTAACTTTCTACCACTCTAAATGTCAAGCCTCTGCCTCTAACCCTAGGAAGCTCTTTGCCACCTTCTCCTCCCTGCTGAATCCTCCTCCTCCTCCTCCCTCCTCCCTCTCTGTGGATGTCTTCGTCAAACATTTTGAAAAAAAGGTTGACGACATCTGATCCTCATTTATTAAGTCAAATGACACCACTGGTCCTGCTCACACTGCCCTACCCTATGCTTTGACTTCTTTCTCCCCTCTCTCTCCAGATGAAATCTTACAAACTTGTGATGGCCGGCCGCCCAACAACCTGCCCGCTTGACCCTATCCCCTCCTCTCTTCTCCAGACCATTTCCGGAGATCTTCTCCCTTACCTCACCACGCTCATCCACTCATCCTTGACTGCTGGCCATGTCCCTTCCGTCTTCAAGAGAGCGAGAGTTGCACCTCTCCTCAAAAAACCTACACTCGATCCCTCCGATGTCAACAACTACAGACCAGTATCCCTTCTTTCTTTTCTCTCCAAAACTCTTGAGCGTGCTGTCTCTAGCCAACTCTCCTGCTATCTCTCTTAGAATGACCATCTTGATCCAAACCAGTCAGGTTCCAAGACTGGTCATTCAACTGAGACTGCTCTTCTCTGTGTCACAGTGGCTCTCCGCACTGCTAAAGGTAACTCTCTCTCTTCTGCTCTTATCCTTCTAGACCTATCCACTGCCTTTGATACTGTGAACCATCAGATCCTCCTCTCCACCCTCTCTGAGTTGGGCATCTCCGGCGCTGCTCACTCTTGGATTGCGTCCTACCTGACAGGTCGCTCCTACCAGGTGGCGTGGCGAGAATCTGTCTCCGCACCACGTGCTCTCACCACTGGTGTCCCCCAGGGCTCAGTTCTAGGCCCTCTCCTATTCTCTCTATACATCAAGTCACTTGGCTCTGTCATATCCTCACATGGTCTCTCCTATCATTGCTACGCAGACGACACACAATTGATTTTCTCCTTTCCCCTTCTGATAACCAGGTGGCGAATCGCATCTCTGCATGTCTGGCAGACATATCAGTGTGAATGTCGGATCACCACCTCAAGCTGAACCTTGGCAAGACGGAGCTGCTCTTCCTCCCGGGGAAGGACTGCCCACTCCATGATCTCGCCATCACAGTTGACAACTCCATTGTGTCCTCCTCCCAGAGAGCAAAGAGCCTTGGCTTGACCCTGGACAACACCCTGTCGTTCTCCGCTAACATCAAGGCGGTGACCCGATCCTGCAGGTTCATGCTCTACAACATTCGCAGAGTACCACCCTACCTTACACAGGAAGCGGCACAGGTCCTAATCCAGGCACTTGTCATCTCCCGTCTGGATTACTGAAACTCGCTGTTGGCTGGGCTCCCTGCCTGTGCCATTAAACCCCTACAACTTATCCAGAACGCTGCAGCCCGTCTGGTGTTCAACCTTCCCAAGTTCTCTCATGTCACCCCGTTCCTCCGCACACTCCACTGGCTTCCAGTTGATGCTCGCATCTACTACAAGAACATAGTGCTTGCCTACGGAGCTGTGAGGGGAACGGCACCTCCTTACCTT